GCCCCACTTCTGGCCAGTTCGCTGTGGTCCATGACCTGCAGAAGTGGCATCTTCCGGGGGATTGTGGAGAATGTAGAATTTCAGGCCCCTCCCCACGCCTGCTGACTCAGAATCTCTACATTAGCAGGATCTGCAGGGGTGATAGGCATGCCCATTGAGGAGGGTAGAAAAACACTGCTTGGAAGGCACCATTACCAGAGGACTCACTCCTCACTGAGTCCTGTAAGTCATGTCATCGTGAGACTTCGTAAACTGCTGTGGTTTATCTTCGATATTAAAATGTTGTTTGAAATATTATGTTTGTCAGATAATTATAAAAAGATGCACAAGTGAATAATTTGCAGTCTCCTGCCAGTGCTTGTGCTAGCATGTCTTAATATCTGAGTGCCCATTTGATGAATATGTGTTTCAGAGTCTCTTGTTTTCAAATAAGCTTTGAACATTTAACTAGTGTTCTTTTTTTTTTTTTAAAGGATCTATTTATTTTATTGGAAAGGTGGATATACAGAGAGGGGGAGAGACAGAGAGGAAGATCTTCCATCCGGTGGTTTGCTCCCCACTCCGCATTTTGAAAGCCTGGGCAAACCGGTATATTTTTGTATTGCCAGAAGATGCTTGCTGTCACAACATGTTTTCTTACCTCTGCCCTGTATAAAGAACTGAGTGGTAGTAAGCCAGTCAGTGACAGAGCTGGCTAGCCACTCAGGTCAAAAATAGTTCTGTGGTTTTCTAACAAGGTAGGTTTAAGACGACACAAATGACAAACTAGTCGAAGCCTCATAAAGGAAATGTAACACATACTATGCTGACAATATTCTGAAAATGTAGTAGTAGCTTGTTGAGCCACACCATTAGCCCCAAAATAACATTAAAAAAATATATATCAGAGGGCCTAATACAATGGCCTAGTGGCTAAAGTCCTCGCCTTGAATGCACCAGGATCCCATATGGACACCAGTTCTAACCCTGGCGGTCCCACTTTCCATCCAGCTCCCTGCCTGTGGCCCGGGAAAGCTGTCGAGGACGGCCCAAAGCCTTGGGACCCTGCACCTGCCTGGGAGACCTGGAAGAAGTTCCTGGCTCCTGGCTTTGGATCGGTGCAGCACCTGCCATTGTGGTCACTTGGGGAGTAAATCATTGGACAGAAGATCCTCCTCTCTGTCTCTCCTCCTCTCTGTATATCTGACTTTGCAATAAAAATAAAAATAAATAAATCTTTAAGAAAAATCAGGGGCCAATATGATAGTAGCAACAGGCTACTCCCGTCTGCTGGCGCTGACATTCCACATGGTTGCTGGTTTCTATCCAAGGGGTTCCACTTCTTGATCCAGCTGCCTATTAATGTGCCTGAGAAAGCAATGGAGGATGCTCCAAGTCCTTGGACCTTTGCACACATGTGGGAGACTTGGATGAAGTTCCTGGATCCTAGCTTTGGAAGGATCCAGCTGCAAATATTATACCCATTTTTGGGAATGAATCAGCGGATGAAAGAGATCTCTTCTCTCTCTCTCCCACATCTCTCCCCTCTCTCTGTGACTCCGATATTCTGGGTAAAATAAATCATTTTAAAAAATCAATCAAACAGGGCACAGAACAGTAGCCTAGCAGCTGAAGTCCTCGCCTTGAATGTGCCAGGATCCCATATGACCACTGGTTCAATCCCAGCAGCCCTGCTTCCCATCCACCTCGCTGCTTGTGGCATGGGAAAGGAGTTGAAGACAGCCCAAAACCTTGGGACCTTGTATCCGTGTCGGAGAACCGGAAGAGCTCCTGGCTCCTGGCTTCAGATCAGCGCAGCACCAGCTGTTGTGGTCACTTGGGGAGTGAATTATCGGTCTTCCTCCAGATCTCTCACACGGTTGCAGGGTCCTAAGGCTTTGGGCTATTCTTGACTGCTTTCCCAGGACACAGGCAGGGAGCTGGATGGGAAGTGGAGCTGCCGGGATTAGAACCCTCACCTGTATGGGATTCTGGTGCGTTAAAGGCCAGGATTTTAGCCACTAGACTATGGCACTGGGCCCCTCAATTGATCTTTTTTAAAAATTTATTTTTATTTGAAAGACAGATGTATAAAGAGGAAATACTGAGAGAAAGATTTTTTCATCTACTGGTTCATTTCCCAAATGGTCACAATAGCCGGAGCTGAGCTGATTCACAGCCAGGAGTCAGGAGCTTCTTCCAGCCTCCCAGGTGGGTGTCACGGTGCCAAGGCCATGGGTCATCCTCCACTGCTTTCCCAGACTGCAGGCTGGGAGCTGGATGAGAAGTGGAGCATCCAGGACATGAACTGGCACCCAGTTTGGATCCTGACACTTTCAGGGTGAGGGTTTAGATATTAGGCCATCACACCAAGCCCTCAGTTGAGTTTTAGATTCAGTGATCAGCAAGCCGGCTATGTAAAGACAAGGTGAATGTTAGAGAGGCCATTGGTACAATGGGTTAAGACTCCACTTGGGATTGAGTCCTGGTTCTGCTTCTGAGTCTAATCTCCTGCTCTGGAAGGCAGCAGGTGATGGCCCAAATGCTTGGCCCTGCCACCCACTTGGTCAACCAGGATGGAGTTAGGGCTTCTGGCTCTGGCCTGCTGCAGGCATCAGGGAAGTGCATCAGCATATGAAAGAACTCTGTCTCTGTTTCCTCTTTGCCTTTTAAACACATAAATATGGAAGACTTTAAAGAATAGTATGTGATGACTTACTTGTAAAAGGATGATTGAAAAGCAGTGTTAATATGCGTGCCAATACGGCTTGCACATAAATTCTTGTTTGGCTTTTCCTTCCCCTTGCATTCATTTGGCTTTGTTTCCAGAAGGTGAGTTATGCTATTACAATATCCATTTAGCAGACTCTTCACCTCTGCATAAAAATTAGGCCAGGAAAAGCTTGTCCCAGTGGTTTAAGACGCCTGTCTCCCGTGTCAAGAGTACCTGGGCTTTGATTCCTGGCTCAGCTCAGTCTTAACTTCCTAATAAAACATCACGGAAGACAGGAGTGATGGCTCAAGTAACTGGGATCCTGCCAGGCTTGTCGCTGAACCAGCTCAGGTCATGACAGGAACAGCACTGAAGGACTGGGCCAGGAGAGAAAGAGAAAGAGAGGGTGTGTCTACTGTCTCTTGGCACCTCCATCAATCAGCAAATATTTGTTTTAAAAGATTAGATTGTAGAGTGACTGTAGTTCACAAAAAGTTACATATGTTATCAAGAACTCAGAAGAGCTTAAAGCTTCTCAGTCTGAGAAATGATGAGGTCAGGACCCCGGCACCTTGCTTTCAACACTACACACTGCATCTATGTAGGAAAACATCCCTGAGCCCTGTAAGTATGCCCAAAAAAATAAAAGAAAAAAATAAAAATAACAAAAAAAAGTATGCCCATGTATACTTGAAAAAATACTTATAACACGAGCCAGAAGAAAAGAATTCAATACAAAGTCGTGTCCACGGCAGACTGCATTCTGTAGAATAACGTGTGAAAGGAGACAGCATGTGGACAGCAGCCGCCTGCGAGAAGCACAGCTTATTAGTAAACTATTACATTTGCTCTTGAACTTCCCTAGACCAGGATTTAGCCTTTCCTTGGGATAAATTTTTTTTTAACTAAGCTAGCTAGACCATTTTGCCATAGCAAATTATATCCATCCAGATTTTGTGCTGCTTTGAAAATGCTAACAGTGGGGAAGTGGAGATAAAAGAGGCAATAACAGTTTTCAGCTCTTTGCTCAGATATTAACATTTCTTGTCTTAGTTTTTCTGGAAAAAATTTTTTTTCTCTACTTCATTTTCTGTCTGTCTCTATTAGTCTTTAGTATGTTGTGTGTTTTCAAGCCCTGTGTGAATGCTGATCTACACAGAATTTGCTATTACCTAATAGGAATATCAAGAATGGGACAAGCATGGTGGCTCACACTAATCCTCCACTTGGCAGTGTCAACATCCCACAGGGGCACTGGTTCTAGTCCCAGCTGATCCATTTTGGTCCAGCTCCGTGCTAATGGCCTGGGAAAGCAGCAGAACATGGTTCAATGTGAGAGAAACTCTTGGGGCCCTGCGCGGTAGCCTAGTAGCTAAAATCCTCGTCTTGAATGTACCAGGATCCCATATGGGAACCAGTTCTAATTCCAGCAGCTCCACTTCCCATCCAGTTCCCTGCTTGTGGCCTGGGAAAACAGGATAGCACAAAGCCTTGGGACCCTGCACTGGTGTGGGAGACCTGGAGGAAGTTCCTGGCTCCAGGCTTCGGATCGGTGCAGCACCAGCTGTTGCGCTCACTTTGGGAGTGAATCATCGGACAGAAGATCTTCCTCTCTGTTTATCTGACTTTTTAATAAAAATAAATAAATCTTTAAGAAAAAAAAGAGTTAGAGATTGTATTGGATCACTGATGCCCCATTAAACATGAAGAAATTCACTGAGCAGTGAAGTTGGCATTTTGTTATTTATTTTTATGACCATATGTCCGTATAGCCTTTTTTTATGTTTATTTTTAAATTTTAATCTACCAAGAAAGTATAGCAATAGAGCGATAGAATGAAAGGGTTATCTTCTGTCTGTGATTCACTCCACTATGCCTGCGACATCTAGAATCAGGCCAGGAACTCCGTCAAGGTATGCACTTGGGTCTCTAGTACAGGAACCATCATTGGCCGTCCCCTAAGGTGCATGGACAAGAAGTTGGATCCAAGTTGGAGTAGCCAGAATTTAAAACAGCACTCCAGTATGGAATGTGGGCATCTCAACTAGTGGTTTAACCTTCGGTACCACATGCTTTATTTATCAGAAATGCAGTGAAAGAGAGAGAGAGAGGAATCTTCCATCTGCACATTCCTTCCCCCGATGTCAGTAGCACCCTCAGCCGGGGCAGCAGAAAGGCCGGAACCTGGGACTCAGTCCTGGGTTCCCACCATGGACGGCAGTGCCTCCAGTGCTTCTCCTGTCAGCTGCTGCTTTCCACATTGTGCGTCAGCAGGAAGCTGGAATTAGAGCAGGAGCCGGGGCTCAAACCCAGGGACTCAGGTGTGGAATGTGGGTGTTTCTAGTGGTACCTTAACGCTGTGCCGATGCCCACCCCTGCGTTTACAATCAGCTTCCTTAAAGCCTGGAAAAGAGCTTACTGATTGTATTCAGCCACAGCGGGACTGAGCTTCAGTGACCCTGAGGCAGTATACTGTCTGAGCTGCAGTGCTTGGGCTTCCGTGAAGAGAAGGGACACGTGTACACGACCACGGCCAGGAGTGTGTGGACCAGCGGCCTCTCCGTTCCGCAGCTCTCTCGCTGCTTTGTGCTCACATACTTCCTTTTTTTTTTCTGTTGTTTTGAAACAAAAACAAAACGCAGATCTGCAACTGCTGGTGGGGCTTTTGAATTCTTTCTAAAGAGGAAACTGGCTTTACCTAACCAGTGCACTTCCTGTGTGGTACATCCGTTGAAAGGAGAGGCGGGAGCTGGTGGTCCAGAGTGCAGCTCTCACATTGTCTCTCGGTAGTGCGGACTGAAATGGACTCAGGCGCTGCTGCAGCAGCGGCTCCGTGTCTTCCGCTCACTGTAACGCCTGTGCCGCTTCCCTGGCGCACTGGGAAATCCGAGCTTGTGCTTCCACAGTTCCAGGTGGTGCCTGCGATTCTGGAATTCTAACTGTACCCCAGGTGACATCTCAAAATAGTGACAGTTTCTTCCGGGGTCTTTTGAAAAGTGTTTGAAGCATATAGAGCTAACCTCTTTTTTTTTTTTTGGACATTATTTGTTTTTACTTGAAAGTGAGTTGAATTTTGATAGCTGAATTGCTAGGTACTGTACAGGCTGTTTGTTTCCCACGTGCATGTGAGATGAAGTCTCCCTGTCGTTTTGAACAGGGTTTCTGCGTGCTGTGAGTTCAGGGTAGTATTCCCCAGTGTGGGCAGAATTACAGGCGTGCTTGTGAAAAGTGAGAACTCTGGGGCCAGGATTGTGGCAGAATGAGTTAAGCCACACCTGCAGTGTTGGTATCCTGTACGGGCGCTAGTTCTGGCTGTTCCGGGTCCTATCCAGCTCTCTACCTGCTCTGTTGTTGCTGCCTTTCAAAGAAATAAAACAGGACCCAGGGTGATGGCTGAATTGGCCGCTTCTCCTGCTGCAAAGGCCAGAATGCCATATGCACACTGGATCGGGTCCCAGCTGCTCCATTTCCCATCCAACTCCCTGATTATGGTCTGAGAAAGCAATAGAGGATGGACCAAAGCCTTAGGACCCTGGACACACCCAAGTAGGAGACTTGGAAGAAGCTCCTGACTTTGGATTAGCTCAGCTCCTGCTGTTGTGACCCCTCGGGGAATGAACCAGTGAATGGGGGATCATTCTCTGTCCCTCCTTCTCTCTGTGGATCTGTCTTCCCAATAAAAAGAAATAAATCTTAAAAAAAAATAAAACAGATCTTAAAAAAAAGAAGAAGAGGAGAGTGCAAGCTCCACCTGTAAGTTCCTCCTGGCTCTAGGATCTAACTGCACTCTAAGTTGTAATTAGCAGCTGCCAGTTACGGCTGCCAAGTCATGGTTTAGGTCTAAAGATTCACTTTTTTATTTGTTTGAAAGGCACATAAAGAGAGAGAGGGAAGGAGAACTGAGATCTTTTTTTTCTTTTAAGATTTATTTATTTTTATTGGAAAGTCAGATACACAGAGGGGGAGAGACAGAGAGGAAGATCTTCCGTCCGATGGTTCACTCACCAAGTGACTGCAATGGCCGATGCTGAGCCGATCCAAAGCCAGGAGCCAGGAACCTCCTCAATGTCTCCCATGCAGGTTCAGGGTCCCAATGCTCTGGGTCATCCTTGACTGCTTTCCCAGGTCACAAGCAGGGAGCTGGATGGAAAATGGAGCTGCTGGGATTAGGACTGGCTCTTATATGGGATCGCAGTGCGTTCAAGGCGAGGACTTTAGCCACTAGGCCACTGCACCAGTCCCGGGAAGGAGATCTTAACATCTGCTGGCTCACTGCCCAGATGGCCACAGTGGCTCGTCAAGTGGAGCTGATTTGAAGCCGGGAAGTAGGAGCCTCTTCTGGGTCTCTCTTGTGGGCGCAGGTGCCCAAGGTCATGAGCCATCCTTACCTGCTTTCCCATGACTTAGCATGGAACTGAATCAGAAGTGGAGCAGCCAGGATATGAACTGGTGTCCATTTGGAATGCCAGTGCTTGAAGGAAGGTTAGCCTATTTAGCCAAGGTGCTAGCCCCCCAAAATTGGGTGGTACCTTTTGATTGTTATGCATGGTGTCTGTGGAGTAAACTTCTACAGGTACTGGTTTTTTTGAGTTTTTATGTTATTTCTTTTCAGATCAAAGAGAGTGCATCACAGACGAGAGATGTCCTGAAACAACATTTTATGGATTTAAAGGGAACCCTTGGGAAACTCCTGGATGAGCGGCTGGTGACCTTGTTACAAGAGGTGGATGCCATCGAACAGGAGACCATGAAGCCACTAGAAGACTGCCGGAAGCTCATTGAGCATGGCGTGACTACCGCGGAGGACTTGGTGAAAGAAGGTGCGGGCCAGCGAGCCTAGCAGCGTGCTTGCTTGGCATCAGGGCTTTGCTGGCTTCCTGTGGCCTAGGGGCGTTCAGCGTGCGGCCACCAGGAGACAGTCTCTAGCGTAGACTCCCGGCAGATACACAGTGATAGATACCAGGGTGAATACAAGTGTTCAGTATAACCATTCACGAAGCAGGGCGGAGTAAGGGGTTTTCCTCAAGTTATTCCATGATGATATTATCCAAGTCACTGTTGACTGAATGATTTTATGGTTATTTTGATTATGTTTAAAATATGTATTTCTCCCATCCAAGTACTAACCAGGCCCGACCCTGCTTAGCTTCTGAGATCCGACGAGATCGGGCGCATTCAGGGTGGTATGGCCACAGAAGACTAAAATATGTATATCTCATACTATTCATGGTACGTAGAATTTAATGCCATTGTTACCTTTCAGAAGGTTAAAAAATGTGCTTGATGTCACTTGGGAAGCTGTAGTTAGGACTTCCTGTTTGTAGTCAGTGATATTAGTTCAGTCATGGCCAGATCTTACCTTGCTGCCTTCGTTCAGCATTTGTGAAGGTTTGTTTATTTGTAAGGCACAGTTACAATGACACACCCACATACACACGCATCTTCCATCCAGTAGGTCACTCTCCACATGGACACAGCACTGGGTCTGATCCAGGCCGGAGCCAGGGGCTTCATCTCCTGCCGTCTTCCACTGCTTTCCCAGGCCCTGCTTTCCCAGGCTTTCCCAGGGGATTGGAAGCAAGGCAACTGGGACTCAGAACACCTGCTGGCATCACAGGCAGTTGCCTCACCCGCACTGGGCCGTGACGCCAGTCCTACTTAACCCACAGTGGGCCTAGATGCCAGCCCCAGCATCAGTTGTTCTCAGGTGCTCTGGACAAAAAGGTAGCTGTTCAGTCTTTTGGGGTTCACAGCCCAGTGGGAGAAGCCTGCAAGTTGAGAGAGATCTTGCTCTTCTGGGACACGGAAGAGCATGTTAGTCTGTCAGGAAAAGTGTCCATAGCTGTCGGCAGGAGGGATTCCAGAGAGGCTCAGAGCAGTTCCTTAGGCAGACACGGGAGAAGAGGTGGTAACTGAGTGCAGTGATCGGCATGTCTCAAGGATCTGGAGAACTGTAAGCAGCACACTTCAGATTTGCGTTTGTAAAATGTGACGCTGCCTGCAATTGGGAGACTTTTATACATTGTAAGTCCGGACGCCGAGGACACTTCTCTGAAACTTGAGAGGGTAAAGGTTGTGGCGTTGAAAATGAGGTACGGCTGGTTTTAAGATGTTTGGAGACAGTGTTACAGATGATTTTATTAGTTGGCGACTGTATTTGTTTATTATTCTTTAATAATTGCACATTAGTGTGGGTATGGGTGTTGATTGTTGGTGATCCCCTCATAGGGAGACTGAAGCAATGCAGGATAACCGGTGCAGTTCTGCATGGAAGGATGTGAAGACAGCAGGCGGGGGAGGGAAGCTGTCCTGGGTCCCAGGTGTCGCTTTGAGCACACTGAGTTGGAGGTGCTGAAGATGGCTGCATGGGTGTGAGGCCAAAGGGGAGGAGCCATGCTTGGAGATGGCAATGCGCAGGTCGCAGCATAGGCATCATATCTGGGTCACAGAATGAGGGAAACGGTCAGGATACTGTGGGATGCAGAGGATGGAACCTTCAGGGATGCCAACACTGAGCGGATAATTACAGGAAGGGAGTCAGGGAGAGACCGGAAGCCATCTGCTCTGCTGGGTGAGTGCTGTGAGCGACGTGGATCCCCACGGGACTGTCCCTCTGGCTGGAATTTCATCCTGCTTTGGCCCCTCCTGCAAGCTGGGGCTAGTGTGAGCTTTCCAAGCTGGTTGTATCTTTGCTTCTCTTCCATGAGAAGTCCTTATTTGTCAAGGGCAGAGCAGTGCCTTTGATAACATTCTCAGCAGCTCCACCGAATGGCTCTCCCGTGGTACCTTGCCTTTGGCAGTAACCCCAGACGCAGGGCTGCAGAGGTCAGGGGGCACACTCATCACCCTGAGAAGTGTTTTTATTTTACAAAGTAAATCCTTGGGCGGGGTGCATGGTAGGTGGAGGGGCAGGCACAGTGCGGTGGTGCTGAGTGTTAAGCTGCAGTCTGCAGAGCCAGAATCCTATATGGGTGCTGGTTCAACTCCTGGACGCTCTCTGTCTGATCCAGTTCCCTTGTTAGTACTTGTTAGTGTTCTATTGTGATTTCTAACCCAATGTATAACATTCTTTTAGAAAAGCATAACTCTCTTTGGGCTTTGTAAAACCTGGGACGCTATTGATTTTGCCAGGATAATATTTGTGCTGGCTGCTGTGGGATTGATAGCAACAAGTCCCATCTGCTTTTGAGAGTACAGGTCTGCAAAACAGATCGTACAGAACAGACTCCTTAGTCCTGGGCAAAGTGTTGCTGTTGTACACACCCTCTCCTCTTGGGCTGAACATAGAGTCGCTTCTAAAATAGTTTCTCCTTTCGCTGTTTGGAAATCTGCTATTGCTTAGGAATTGTGCGTGAGACGACTGGAGACGCACCTGCACCTGAACTGTGTTGACTCTAACATGGCTGTGTTCTGATCCCCCTGTGCTTGCTTGTAGGCGAGGTCGCCATCCTGGGTGCTGTGGATGAGCAGAATGAAAAACTGTGGAGCTTTACCAAAAAGGCCGCACACATCCAGCTGGACAGGTAGCAGAACCTGTGCCTTTTACACTGATTTTCCAAAACTAGGTCAGCTGTTGCTTCTTTGCCTTCTGGCTAAGATCAGGAGTAACTATTCCTACTTCCTTTTTCCTTATTCTGATTATAAGGAAGATAGAGATTATAATTATAAAACTTTTTTTTAAAAGTTTTATTTATTTATTTATATAAAAGACAGAATGACAGAAAGGGTAGAGAAAGATTGTTTTCAAGATGTCTCTATTTGGGCCTGGTACAGTGGCTTAGTGGCTAAAGTCCTCACCTTGAGCACGCCGAGATTCCCTATAGGCAGCATTTCTAATTCCAGTAGCTCTACTTCCCATCCAGCTCCCTGCTTGTGGCCTGGGAAAGCAGTCGAGGACGGCCCAAAGCCTTGGGACCCTGCACCAGCGTGGTAGACCTGGAAGAGCTCCTGGCTCCTGGCTTTGGATCGACACAGCACTGGTCGTTCCGGTCACTTGGGGAGTGAATCATTGGATGGAAGATCTTCTTCTCTGTCTCTCCTCCTCTCTGTATATTTAACTTTGTAATGAAAATAAAAATAAAACCTTTTAAAAAAAGTCTCTATTTAAAGACAAAGCTAGATATTAAGATCTTTCTTTTTTTTTAAGATTTATTTATTCATTTTTGGAAAGGCGGGTATACAGAGAGGAAGAAGAGACAGAGGAAGATCCTCCATCTGATGATTCACTCCCCAAGTGGCCTCAACGGCTGGAGCTGAGCCGATCTGGAGCCAGGAACCAGGAGCTTCTTCCAGGTCTCGCACATGGGTGCAGGGTCCCAAGGCCTTGGGCCATCCTCGACTGCTTTCCCAGGCCACAAGCAGGGAGCTGGGTGGGAAGTGGAGCTGCAAGGCCGCTGGGATTAGAACCGACGTCCATATGGTATCCTGGTGTATTCAAGGCGAGGACCTTAACTGCTACACTATCGCGCCAGGCCCCATCAAGATCTTTCATCCAGAGGTTTTCTCAGATGGTGGTGGTTGCTACAAGAGCTGGACCAGGATGAAACCAGGAACTTGGAACTCCATTTGGGTCTCCCCTCTGATTGGTCAGCCTGAATTGCTTCCCAGGTGCATCAGCAGGAAGCTGAATTGAAGTAGAGTCAGCAGGATTGGGACTGGCACTCTGATGGGAGACGCACATGTCTCAAACAGAGGCTTCATTTGATGGGCACACCATTTCATCCCCACAAGAAGACCTTCTATCAGCTTCATATTTGAATTCTTTCTATGATGATTGTTTGAAAAGGAAATCTTTCTATACTTCTCTAAAATATTCCTCCTTGGAGGCATTGTGGCGCAGTGGGAGGGGCATCATTTGGACGCTCATACCCCATACTGGAGTGCCTGGGATAGAATCCCTCCTCCTCTTCCAATCTGGCTCCCTGGTAGTTCATCTGGGAGGCCTGAGTACTTGAAGTGCTGCCATTCACCTGAAAAACCTGCTTGGTTCCTGACTTTGACCTGACCCAGCACCGGCTGTCTCGTGGGCATCTGGGGAATGAACCAGAAGAAGATATTTCTCTCTCTGTCTCTCACTCCTTCTCTTCTCCTACTCCCCCCTCTAGGTTTCTTTTTGTCGCTCTGCCCTTCAAATTAAATACTAATAATAAGGTAAAAATTCCTTTTATTTTTAAGTCTTAGCTAAAAGTGTGGACTTTGTTTCCTCAGCTTACCCGAAGTGCCTTTACTGGTTGATGTGCCTTGTTTATCTGCCCAGTTGGATGATTCAATTCTTAACATAGTGAAAGACCACATTTTCAAGCATGGAACAGTAGCATCGCGGCCGCCAGTCCAGATAGAAGAACTCATTGAGAAACCTGGAGGTATCATAGTGCGCTGGTGTAAGGTATGTGTTTTAGAACTGAAAAGGCGGCTTCAGCATGACAGATAGAAGATTTCTGAGCAGACTTAATGAATTTAATATTTTTTCCTATTTCTTTTTTTAAAACTCATTCCTTTGAAAAGTAGAAAGGGAGAGAAAGAGCTTTCATTCACTGATTCTTTTTTCAAATACTCACTGTGCCTGAGGATGAGCCAAGAGCAAAATGCAGGTGTCCCATATGGGTGGGAACAATCCAGCTGCCTGAGCTCTCCGTGCTGTTCAGTAGGGTCCACACTGGCAGGGAGCTGGGGTCAGGAGGCCGAGCAGGGTGCCAGATCAGATGCTCCTGTGTGCACTGTGGGTGGCTTCCCTGCCAAGGTAAATGCCAGCTCTCCATTAACATTTATTAGAAGACAAGTCAAGAACTCATACTGACTATTGAAGATATGACTATGTAAATATTTTTTGTTCAATCCAATAGTACTTCCTCTGGCTCACTCCCCATGTGGCTGTAACAGCCAGGGCTGGGCCGGAGCTAAGCCAGCAGTTGGGATTCTTCTGGATCTCCGGTGTGGGTACAGGGGCCCAAGGACTTGGAACATCTTCTGTTTTCACCAGAAAGCCAACCCAGGGAGCTGGATTGAAATTGCAGCACGTGGGACTTGAATGAACCAGTGCCCATGTGGTATGCCTGTGTTGCAGAGGCAACACAGAGCTGGAACATTCAAAATAAGATTCTTACAGTATATTTTCAGAACACTCAGCCAAGGATTTTATGTGTGAAATCGTATTATATAAGTAAGCCACCATATTTTATATGCAAACTAAGTTCTTGTTGCCTATAGGATCTTCATTTTATTTTATTTTTTATGTTGTTTACATAGTTGGCAAGGATGCACACGCATGAGGACCACTGCTTAGGGTGGGGAGGGTCGAAGCATGGGGAAGGTGGATGGGACAAATGCTTCCAGTTATCGTTTTCTTACCTTTTCCCATGTATGGGGGGGTTGGGAGGCAGGGAAGAGGGTGCCCCCAGCTGCCACACTCCCCAGTCCCCAGGTTGGGGAATATCCCCTTAGTGTCACCTTAGAAACCTGATGTGGAGAAGTGTGCTCTGAGGGTGTGGCCTGAGTGGTTTTGATAGTTCTCAGAGTGTTGGTTTCCGTTACTGCAGAGCTTTGTAAGCTTTATTTATTTATTTATCTGAAATGCAGATTTACAGCGAGAAAAAAATAGGGAGAGAGAAATCTTCCATCTGCTGGTTGACTCCCCAAATGGCTGCAACAGTTGGAGCTGGGTCAGTCTAAAGCCAGGAGCCTGCAGCATCTTTTGGGTTTCCCATGTGGGTACTGGCACAAGGGCTGTCTCTTGCTGTTTTCCCAGGCACATTAACAGGAGCCCAATTGTGAGGGGAGCAGCCAAGACTCAAAACGGCATCCACATGGGATGTTAGCACCACAGGCAGAGGTGTAATCTAGCACACCACAGTGCTGGCCCAGCATCTCTCTCTCTCTTTCTTCAGATTCACTTTATGTATGTGTTTATTTTTTATAATTCTTTTATTCATTTTTGAGGGCCTGTCATGGTAGCTAGCTAGTGGCTAAAGTCCTTGCCTTGAAAGTTCCAGGATCCCATCTGGACATCGGTTCTAATCCCGGCAGCTCCACTTCCCATCCAGCTCCCTGCCTGTGGCCTGGGAAAGCAGTGGAGATTGGCCCAAAGCCTTGGGACCCTGCACTCAAGTGGGAGACCTGGAAGAGGCTCCTGGTTTCAGATTGATTCAGCTCTGGCCATGTCGGCCATTTGGGGAGTGAAATCATCGGATGGAAGATCTTTCTGTCTCTCCTCCTCTCTGTATGTCTGACTTAGTAATTAAAAATATATATATATATACACTTATATATATACACACCTATGTATATATATACCTTAAAAGAGAGAGACAGAGGCCTTCTGTTCTGCTGGTTAACTGCCCAAGTGCCTGCAACACCTGGGCCTGGGTCAGCAAAGCCAGTAGTGAGGAGCTCCTGCCAGTTGCTCGCCCTGGATGACAGAAACCCAGTTGTCTCCCCAGAACAGCCCCTGTGGGGTACTTGGGCCTGTATTCACTACGTAGTCCCGGTTGATGTTCTTAAGCCGTGTTGTTGAGGGAGGTGATACCCTAACATGTTACTCTAACATGAAGTCTTTCTCTTTAGGTGGATGATGACTTCACGGCCCAGGATTACAGGCTTCAGTTCCGTAAATGTTCCTCAAATCATTTTGAGGACGTGTATGTGGGTTCTGAAACCGAGTTCATAGTGTTGCACATAGACCCCAACGTCGATTACCAGTTCCGAGTCTGTGCCCGAGGTGATGGCCGCCAGGAGTGGAGTCCTTGGAGCGTCCCTCAGACCGGCCATTCTACGCTCGTGCCTCATGGTATGTGTCTCCGTCTCCCTCCCGAGGCTCTGCTGCATGCTGTGGGAAGCATATAGTACTTTCCTTCTAGTTTTACAAAATCGTGTTAGATACAGAGGCAGAGACAGACACAGAGAGCTCACATCTGCTGGTTTACTCTAAGCGCCTGAGTACCAGAGCCAGGATGATAATCCAGGTCTCCTGCATGCACAGCAGGGACCCACCTGTGGGCACCCATCCCTCGCGCACTCACCCGCTGCCTTCTAGGAGTGTAAAACAGGGATAGAACCAGAACTCAAACCCGGGCACTCTGGTGTGGAAGGGAAGTGTCCCAAGCAGCTTCCTGACCCCTGAGTCAAGTGCTGGGCCTTCTGACAACCCTCTAAGCGTGCATTCTGAACTGGGAGGACAACTTGGGGCACGGCTTTTCTTCAAGTTACTTTGTGTGAATTTTGTTTTTATTAGTTCTTCAGAGTCTGAAAATAATGTTTGACAGTATTCTTGGATCACTGAAAACCAAATATCAAAAATGTGCGTATGATACTGATTTTTGAAATCTTTAAGAAGTATCTGGAACTGCTCTGATGGAGCAGTGGGTTGACCACCGCATGAGATGCTGGTGTCTGATGTGAGTGATGCGTCCTGGCTGCTGAGTTTCCCATCTGTCTCCCTGCCAGTGAACCTGGGAAGGCGCAGAGGATGGCTCAGTGGTTGGACCCCTGCCAGCTACCCAAGACCTGGATGGAGTTCCAGGCTCCTGGCTTCAACCTGACCCAGCCCGGCAGTTGCAGCCATCTGGGGAGTGAACCAGCAGATGGAGGGTTTTTCTCTTTGTCTTTCCCCTCTCTGTCTTTCTATAACATCTTTCAAATAAATAAATATCTTTAAAATGAATAATGTACATGCAAACATTTTCTTTAAAAACTTACTATTTACAATTAGTCTCTCTTCTGCATTAAGTTGTTTAATATATGGATTCCTTTATTAATAAGTTCTTGGTCAAGTTGGAATAAGCTCAGTTATGTTTGAGCCGTGATATTATTAGACAGGCAAAAACACTTGTTTTGTTTTTCTATGCTTGAGTTGTCCAAGAAGGAACGAGATTCTTTTTTTTTTTTTTGAAATTGTTGCACTGACCTTGAAACCCTGTTCCTTTTTTTTTTTCTGCAAAGCTTCCCCATGACCTTTAAGTAAGTAGTCTCTCCCACTTCCAAGTTTGATTTTGTGTGTCTCCGTTACAATATCCCACAGGAGATTCTAATAATTTCCTTGACCTTTGCTTTTAAAAGAGTGGACACCTGGCTTTGAGGGGTACAGTCTGAGCAGTCGAAGAAATATAGCCCTCCGGAATGATTCGGAGTCCTCCGGGGTCCTCTACTCCAGCGCACCGACGTACTTCTGTGGGCAGACGTTAACATTCAGGCAAGTACTCGGTCAAGCAGCTGCTGCGCCTCAGGCAGGTGAAGGCAGTGCACAGGGCACAGCCTGAGCTCAGCTTCCACAGGCAGTGTGCTTTCGGGGAGGTGTCTTTATATCTCTTTTTAAGTTATCTAAACTCTGTTTCTGGGGTGACCGTGAATCCTAAATGAAGTAAGGTGAGTACAGCCCTTGGTACTTGGTAGATTTCTCTTAGTTCAGCGGCCAGGATTCTTTAACCTGGTGCGTTTGTAAGACCATGTCTCTGTGAGAGTCGGCCCTGAAAGAAGGCCTTTGATTTTTTCATTCAAGTTTTGAGAAATTTCCTTTTTTCTTGTTTTGCCTTATCTGACTTATATGCTGTTTTGTTTTTAAGAATTGATCTTTATTTATTTAAAAGGCAGAGAGATACACAGATGGACAGAGGTTTTCCATCCTTTGTTTCTCACATGTCCTATAAAATTTTGCAGACCTAGATCAGGACAAGGCCAGGAATCCAGAGCTTAGGTGGGTCTCCCGCACGGGTGGCAGAGACTCAAGTTCTTTTTTTTTTTTTTAAAGATTTATTTTTATTATTTTTTCATTGGAAAGGCGGATATACAGAGAGGAGAGACAGAGAGGGAAGATCTTCCGTCCGATGATTCACTCCCCAAGTGAGCGCAACGGGCTGATACTATGCCGATCCGAAGCCAGGAGCCTCTTCCGGGTCTCCCACGTGGGTGCAGGGTCCCAAAGCTTTGGGCCGTCCTCGACTGCTTTCCCAGGCCACAGGCAGGGAGCTGGAAGGGAAGCAGGGCTGCCGGGATTAGAACCGGCGCCCATATGGGATCCCGGGCGTGCAAGGCGAGGACCTTTAACCACTTGCGCCACCGCGCCGGGCCCAAGAGACTTGAGTTCTTGAGCATCACCTGCTGCCTCCCGGAGTGTGTGTTAGAGGAAGCCGGGACTGCAAGGACGGCCAGACTGACACAGAAGCATCTGATGTGGGATGAGCACATCTGTGTGTTATACCTGAAGCTCAGCTTTGTAACCACAGAAGAACCTAGGGGTGTAGGGGAGCGTGCAAGAGAGAGGGTGGGGGCTCTCGTGTCAGTTATGTAGTTACTCACCAACTGTTCAGAAGTTGTTTCAGATAACATGTCCCTTCCCCATCAGATCTTTATGGACAGAAATACTCGCGTTAGTGAGCCTTCTGGACACGAGGCACTTCTGTGCGGTGGTAGAGGTTTCGCGCCATGAGAGGTTGGGCCAGCTAGCTCAGAGCTAGCTCATTATTATGCTAATAATGTGCTGATGTCATTGCAGTTCATATCTAAGTGGCATTTACTCTGTGCTGGTACTTGGGTTAACTGACTTGATGCACTGAGTAGAGGTAGTACCAGTTAGAGCCCTGTGTCTGTTATTATTGCTGCTGGGGTTTTTTCCCTTTTGTTTTTTAAACATTTATTTATTTTGCTTAAAAATATTGAGAGAGGGAGAGCCAGACAGAGATCTGCCATCTGCTACTCTCCTACCCAAATGGGCACAACTACTGGAATTGAACCAATCGAAAGCCAGGAGCTTCTTCGGGTCTCCTGTGTGGGTACAAGGAACCAAGGGCTTAAGCCATCTGCTGTGCTATCCCAGGCCATGAACGCAGAGCATTATATGAAGTGGACAGCCAGGACTTGAATTGGCATCCGTATGGGATGCTGATGCCGTCAGAGGATTAGCCTGATATGCCACCATGCCAATCCTTCTCCTGTATCTTTACACGGGGAAAGTAAACCTGATTCCGGTTGAGGTTCACATAACAATTTTGTGTCCTCTCATTTTAAAAAAAAATTATTTATTTTTATTGGAAAGTAAGATATTCAGAGAGGAAGATCTTTCGTCCGATGATTCACTCCCCAAGCAGCTGCAACAGCCGCCACAACAGCTGAAGCTGAGCTGTTCCAAAGCCAGGAGCCAGGAACCTTCTCTGGGTCCCCCACATGGGTGCAGGGTCCCAAGGCTTTGGGCCATCCTTGACTGCCTTTCCAGGCCACAAGCAGGGAGCTGGATGGGAAGCAGGTCTGCTGAGATGAGAACTGGAGCCCATATAGGATCCTGGTACTTGCAAGGCTACCGTACCAGGCCCCATCTTTTTTTTTTTTTTTTTTGAGATTGATTTATTTTTATTGCAAAATCAGATATACAGAGAGGAGGAGAGACAGAGAGGAAGATCTTCTGTCCAATGTTTCACTCCACAAGTGACCACAACGGCGAGTGCTGCACCGATCCAAAGCCAGGAGCCTGGAACTTCCTCCAGGTCTCCCATGCTGGTGCAGAGTCCCAAGGCTTTGGGCTGTCCTTGACTGCTTTCTTAGGCCACAAGCAGGGAGCTGGATGGGAAGCGGAGCTACCAGGATTAGAACCGGCGGCCATGTGGGATCCTGGTGCGTTCAAGGCGAGGACTTTTAGCCGCTAGGCCACACTGCCAGGCCTACATAGGGTTGTTTCTTAAGTCATTGGGTGCTTATTCAGTAAAGCAGTACAAGTTACCTGAGTTCACTTAACCGTTCCGTCTGCTGACTGGCCTCACACCTCAGGCCTCTGAAAGCTGCTCTTGGCACTGTGCTCTTGCAAGACTGTGCCACAGGGTCACTCCGGCCAGGTGATTAACTGGGACTTTGCCCAGCTCAGGATTGTGTTTTTTGCATTTTTGTCATTTTTTTGTTTGAGTGTGAAGTGTTTTTCCTCCACACAGAGAGGAGGAATTTCTCCAGTGAAAGAATTTCAGGCATCAGCACTTAAGTGGAAGACAAGAATGGGAGGGCCAGATGGGCCACGTAGATAAAGACAAAGTATTAGTTTCTAGTTTATGTCAGGAGTTTTTTCCTTAAAATAAAACAAACAAACAGACTTAAGACAGAGTCAGAGAGGGAAGAGAGGCAGAAAGAATCTTCTGTCCGCTGGTTTACTCCCTAAATGGCTGCAATAGCGTGGGATGGGCAAGGCTGAAACCAGGAGCCTGGAGTTCCCTGGGAGGGATCCAGGCCACCTTTTGCTGCTTTCTCAGACACCTTAGCAGGGAGCTGGATTGAAAGTGGAGCAGCGGCACTGTGTGGGATACCAGTGTGTGCTTGCTTGGGCAGCACATGTACTAACATTGGAGCGATGCAGACAAGATTAGCATGCCCCATGCGAGGGATACCAGCCTTGCAGGCAGTGGTTTAACCACTGTGTCACAGCGCCAGCCCCCTGAACACTGTTGCTTCACAGGAGGAATGTCAAGGACTACAGGCTGTGTTGCAGGGCTGGTGTTAACGCCTGCTGCGAGGAAGGGGTCATTTGGAATATGTGAATCTGATTTAGTGCTGGGCTTGGCTTTACAGTAATGCTTCACAGCCCAGCAAAGTAGGCTAGTGGCTAAAGTCCTCACCTTGCACGTGCCAGGATCCAATACGGGCACTGGTTCTAATCCTAGCAGCTCCACTTCCCATCCAGCTCCCTGCTTGTGGCCTGCGAAGGCAGTCATGGACCACCCAAAGCCTTGGGACTCTGCACCCATGTGGGAGACCTGAAAGAAGCTCCTGGCTCCTGGCTTCGGATTGGCCTAGCTCCAGCCATTGCGGCCACTTCAGGAGTAAATCTACAGACAAAAGATCTTCCTCTCTGTATATTTGAGTTCCAAAAAAATAAATAAATAAAATAAATCTTTAAAAAAAAAATAGTAATTCTTCACCCCTCTGAATGAAGTTGAGTTTGAGGAGATCTTTCCTTCTGTGTGGGATTGAGCAGCCTTTAACACTGATAGTTCACACATCATTTCTAAAGAGCTCAGGTCTAATGTAACTGTTCCTGGGCACTGCGAAGGGGGCTTTGTGTCTGCCGGGAGGAAGGCGCTCGTTTGGTTTAGCAGGCCTCTGCTCTGTCGTCACGGTCCCAGGAGAGTGCAGCTCTGCTGGGGTTTTCTGTTTCGCCACAGCAGTTGTCTTCTGGGATAAGATGTGATGCTTTTCACGTGGCTGTGTGCTGTTAGCACAGATGTAGGGGGATAAGGCAGAAGCTCTGCCCCCATAGCGCTCTCTCACACTTGGCTGAGCCAAGCCAGCCGGTTCCTTGTGCAGGTCTTTGGACTCTGTATATTGGCTTTTAGTTTGTTTGTGGAGGTGGCTGTCCAGGATGTCAGGGAGGAGTTTCTGCTTTGGGGTATTTCCATCCAATGATTATTGCTTTTGGATAATCTGAGAAACAGGGAGCGGGATCGTAGTTGAGCAGTTAGGACTTGAACCGGTGCTCTTGTGGGAAGCAGACTTTGCAGGCAGTGGCCTAAGCGGCTGTGCCACCGCAGCAGTCCCACATCCCCTTGTGTTTGTATCCTTGGTTCAGTGAAAGCTGCCCTCCGCATCCTGCAGCGTCACATTTCTCTCCAGCAGAACGCATTGTGGGTTCAGGTTGCTGTGCAGCACCCTTCAGCCTGGAGGGCCTTAGCACGGCTTGTCTGACAAGCGGAGTGGAGACTTGCTCAGTCGTTGTTCCCTTTGGTGAATATTGATTTCTCTCCTATTTTTAAAGAAACATTTGGAGAAGAAGTTGCTCTGGCTGGCAGTTTCTTCTTCCGTTTTGTTTTTTCTCCTTCCTCTGTCTTACAGGATCTCTGCTGAGAAGCTGGCTCTGCAGCCTTCTGGGGAGGCGGGCACAGCAGCGTCAGGCCTGCCATCTGTCTTGGTGCCCCCTCGTCCCCTTGGCCGGCTGCCCGCAGCCCCTCTTGCTCTCCCTCTCTCGGTTGCTCTCGCTCTCATCAGCCTGCAGGTGTACAAGCTGTGCGGGTGTGTGAGTGCTCTGAGCTCAGGGGGCCCAAAGCCCACCCTGGGCCTGTGCCGGCCCGAGCCGGGTCTCAGCTGCCAACTGCTTTCCTGGGCACCCACTTCGTCTCTGGCTGGGGTGCCCCGGCCTGCTTCCCTGCCGCCTCGGGGCTGCTGCCAGGAGGAGAAGCTGCTCTCAGCCGTCTCCGGGGGCCAGCTGGCGGCGTTGGAGCAGGGCTGGGCCCCCTCTCACCGGCTCACCCCTTGCACTTGATGTGCCCATGACCGTAGTGTAGATTTCAGGAGCTCTGTATGTACGTCTCCTCTTCCTAACAGATTGCTCAAACACAGGGGACAGACTTCAGCTGCCTCAGACAGGATTGTCCAGGCAAAACATTAACGCTCATAGCTGCAATAGCTTTAGAGGGGTGTTGCCTGCTGTCTGTACTGGGTCTGTTACAAGTGTATTATCTCTCCTTGAAAATTATGATCTCTTCTATTTGAAAGGTAGAGAGACTGAAAGATCTCTCGTAGACCATTTACTCCCCAATGCCTACAGCTCTCAGAACTGGGCAACGCCGGAATCAGGAGACAGGAACTCAGTCCTGGTTTCCCACAGGCATGGTGAGGATCCTGAACGAAACCTGCTACCTCCCAAGGAGTGTGTTAACAGCCAGCTGCAGTCAGAAATGGAGCCAGGGGTCTGGTGTTGTGGCGTAGTAGGTTAAGCCACTACCTGTCGTACCAGCATCCCGAGTCAGTGCCAGCTTAAGTCCTGGTTGCTGCACTTCTTCTTTTTTTTTTTTTTTTTAATTTTTTCCTGTTATTTTTTGACAATCTTTACATAGTTAATTAGGGCACAAAGGTTCAAGGGATATAAGAAAGTGGGTAAGACTATTTTTCCCACATTTTTTTTTTCCTGCATCTGAGGTAAAGGGAGAAATAAAGGGTGAAGCCCCACCCAGTCTCCCACACACCCCAGGTCCCCAATGTGGGGCATGCTCCGAGGGTCTTGCTCAAGTGGTTTTGGTAGTTCAACGGTTATGAACTGCTGCCAGTCTCGGCACTCCAAGCACGATGAGGTTGCCGCAGAATCCACTGACTGACACAGTCCACCTTCGAGTCTCCGTTTGCCCAGTTTTTGTCCAGCTCCCTGCTGTTGGCCTGGGAAAGCAGACACCCAGATGAAACTATTGGTTCTTGACATCGGGTTGGTTCAGCTCTAGCCATTGTGGCCATTTGGGAAAGTGAACCAGGGGATGGAAAATCTCTCCTTTTCTGTAAATCTGCATCTCAAATAAAAGCAGAGTGAAGTGGAGACAGGACTCCAACGCCCGCACTTCCATGTGGGCTTCGGGGGTACCAGCCGGTGTCTTCCCTTCTGCCCCCCACATCCACTCCGTGTCATCTACTTCTAAATGAGTGTCTCAGCGAGGCAGAAATCCCTGGCACTCACGGGCAGGTGACGACTGCAGGAGACACATTCGTTTGGTTTGTTTGTTTTTTAATTAAAGATTTACTATTATTATTATTATTATTATTATTTTTTGGCGAGGTCAGATATACAGAGAGGAGGAGACACAGAGAGGAAGATCTTCTGTCCGATGATTCGCTCCCCAAGTGACAACAGCCAGTGCTGTGCCGATCCGAAGCCAGGGTCCCAAGCTTTTTCTTTAACTATTACATTTCATTTATTGTTCTTTTAAAATGATGTAAGAGGGCCCAGTGCAGTAGCCTAACAGCTAAGTCCTCACCTTGAACTGCTAGATCCCATATGGGTGCCAGTTCGTGTCTCAGTTGCCCTGCTTGCCATCCAGCTCCCTGCTTGTGGCCTGGGAAAGCAGTCAAGGATAGCCCAAAGCCTTGGGACTCTGCACTCACATAGGAAACCCGGAAGAGGCTCCTGGCCCCTGGCTTCAGATCGGCTCATCATGTCCAGTCACTGTCGTCACTTGGGGAATGAAATCAACAAATGGAATATGTTCCTGTCTCTCCTCCTGTCTGTATACCTGACTTTACAATTAAAATAAAAAAAAAAATAAACAAAAACCATTATATATGGACTGGTGGTGTGGTATAGCAAGCAGGTAAAGCTGTCTTCTGCGATGCCAGCGTCGTAAATGGGCACGGGTACGTGTCCCGGCTGCTCCACTTCCCATCCAGCTCCCTGCTGATGCACCTGGGAGAGCAGCGGGGCCTGGCCCGAGTGCTCCGCCACCTGCACAGGAGGGATGTGCAACGTGAAGCAGCCTTGGCCATTGCAGCCACTTGGCGGAGTGACCCAGAGGGTGGAAGCGTTCTCTGTCTCTGTGTCACTCTTTGGAATAAAGAAGAACAAGTCAATCTTGTAAAATAAACAAGAAGGTGAAATGAGCCTCCCGTGTCATCCACAGGGTGGAAACTGTAGGCCAGCCCGACAGGAGAGACAGCCTGGGCGTGTGTGCGGAGAAGCAGAACGGCTGCGAGTCTCTGCAGCGGGACCAGGCTGTGTGTGTGAGCACCAACGGTAAGTGCCCGCTGCTTCCCCGTGTCCGCAGCTGTGGGTCCAGTGAGGTCCTTGGCTCTCTGCTGCAGCTTCCGGAGGTACCCACGTTAGCAGGGCTGACAGCTGAATCCCAGGGAGGCTTAATATTTGGCTTAAACTCTGGGTGCTCGGAAGGAGCAGGGCTGGCCTTTGAGCCAGGACTCTGCGCCTTGATGCCTTGAGCCTGGAGCATCTAAGTTCTCACATATTTATTAGTAGATCAAATACCCAGTGAGAAAGGGCCCTCTCTGTATATGCATCTGTGGCGTTTTCAGTCCCTTCATGGCAGTCATACTTGTAAAAATCATGCCGAGGCAGCTTCACATTTTCTGGTGTGGATTCAGGTTTTGTGTGGAGCACGGTGCTTGTGTGTGCGTTGGGAAGCCAGCTCGCTGCTGTGCAGGGTGGGCTGTGTCCCCTTGTGCAGAACTCCTAATCTCTTGTGGGAAGCTATGGAGCTCTGAACCGGAACTCTGAAATGGGATTAAGGCTTTTTATGATTTTTCTGTTTTCTTAGCAGAGGGGGTTAAATGACGGTTTTCAGTGCATGGGCTGTGTTCCGCTGAGTCAGGAACTTAGCTGTGTCCGGGAGTTGAGCTCTCTTACAGTTACTGCTCCCGTCCAAGTGCCTCTTTGCCTTGACATTGTAGGTGCAGTTTTTGTCAACGGGAAAGAAATGACGAATCAGTTGCCTGCAGTCACTTCGGGATCCACCGTCACGTTTGACATAGAAGCCGTGACTCTCGGGACGGCCGGCAGCAACGAAGGGGGGAGCTTCAAGCTTCGAGTTACTATTAGCTCCAACAACCGAGAAGTGGTTTTTGATTGGTCACTTGATCAGTCCTGTGGCTCACTTTACTTTGGATGCTCATTTTTCTATCCTGGGTGGAAAGTGGTCGTGTTTTAGGGGCTCAGACGCTTGCCTTAGGTTGGCAGTTTTACTGTAGCAGTTCCTTGTTTTTGGTTGTGATAAATTAAAAAAAAAAAAAAAAGTTTATCCCTGAGGTCATTGGGAATGGACTGTGTTTACTGGAGTCATTTGATCCTATTTTAGCAATAAGAGACTTGAATGTTGGCCAAACTATAATTCAGTCACTTCTGCTTTGGGCACACTGGTAGCTGAAGTATCCCACCACACAAAAAAAATCTAGTCAGTTTTTCAAGTATAGCAAGGTACAGAAATCCCTATGTGCTCTCATTGTATTTCTTCCCAGAGTTGGTTATTAGTAAAATGTAGTATAACATTATTATGAAATATCCATGTGGGGTCCAAGGCTCTGATAGGCTTTAAAACAATCGGAGTGGACCAGAGAGAGGCCAGCAGCCACGTGCCTGTGCGGGAGCCGGCTGCGGGCCCTGTGTAGTCAGTGTTGTTTTTGTCCCACGTACAGTGACCTTTTATGTCCCAAAAGCAATAGACGGGTTTTTGTTTTGTTTGTTTTAAGTTGCTGGAGCAAATGTCTGAAATAGACAAGTATTAATCTCCTTTAGTTCCTTCCTTGTCCTTGGATTCAAGTTAGCCCAAGGACCTTTTCAGGCCTTCCCCAGGTCGCCCGGAGCAGTGTTAGCGTGTCGCACGCAGGGGCCACGCGGGGCCGGGCCTCAGCCCTGTGAGTTATGTGTGCAGGTATGAGCTGCAGTCCAGCTTAGGGGCAGTTGTTTTAGAAATGGTCTTTTAGTGGACCAAAAAAAGGAAAATCTGTGACCTATTTTTTTCTTGAATCTGTGTAACATATTTATTTGAAGGACTTAAAATATAAAAATAATGGTCTTAACTTGGTCTGTCAGCCTACAGGTAGTTTAATGTGAATTTTTTTTTGTTTGTTTTCATTTTTACCAGTAATATGAAAGTGGAAAATGTGTTTGATATTTTTGTAAGATAATTTATTTGGGGAATCAAGTTCACTGTTGGACAATCATGATCTTCTCTCCTTGCCTTTTATATGTCAGTAACCTTTCACACTTGTTTACTGCTTGTTAAGGAAGTGTTCTAGACTGCAGATGCCTTGTCCAGTTGTCTAAAACAAAATAAAGAAGCTGAAGGTTAAGTGTATTTCATTTTGCCTCTGTGAAAGCTGACTGAGTTGTAATCTAGTTGGACACTAGGTGTTTTGATTGAGTGCCTCGCCTGCGAGAGTGCTTGTGCTCCGCTCTGTGGCTCTGAGCAGAGAATGTCGGCCTGAATGAACGCGGGTGAGTAATGTCCCTGATGCTTCCCCGGGTTCCTCAGTTTTATTGAATGTGTTTGTTTTTAACCCTTTGCAGCAGAATGGCTTCTTGCATTTATACCTATGCACTATGCCTTTTCTTTCTTTCTTTTTTTTTTTTAAAGATTTATTTTTATTATTATTTTTTTTATTGGAAAGGCGGATATACAGAGAGGAGAGACAGAGGAAGATCTTCCGTCCGATGATTCACTCCCCAAGTGAGCGCAACGGCCGATGCTATGCCGATCCGAAGCCAGGAGCCTCTTCCGGGTCTCCCACGCGGGTGCAGGGTCCCAAAGCTTTGGGCCGTCCTCGACTGCTTTCCCAGGCCACAGGCAGGGAGCTGGAAGGGAAGCGGGGCTGCCAGGATTAGAACTGGCGCCCATATGGGATCCCGAGCGTGCAAGGCGAGGACCTTAACCACTTGTGCCACCGCGCCTTGCCCTTCTTTTTTTTTTTTATATTTTTTAAGATTTATTTACATTTTAAAAATTATTATTTTAATTACATTATATTATGTCACACAGTTCTATAGGCACTGGGATTCCTCCCACCCCTCCCCCCATGGTGGGTTCTTCCCCCGCACCCCTCCCTTGCGTAACCACAGTTCAAGTTTAGTTGAGATACCTTCATTGCAAGCATACACCAAGCATAGACTCCAGCATATTATTGTCCGGTCAAGTTCAGCGGCTTTCTTCCTTTAAGATTTATTTATTTTTATTGCAAAGTCAGATATACAGAGAGGAGAGACAGAGAGGAGGATGTTCCGTCCAATGATTCACTTCCGAAGTGACCGCAAAACCCGATGCTGTGCTAATCAGAAGCCAGGAGCCAAGAACTTCCTCCGGGTCTCCCAAGTGGGTGCAGAGTCCCAAGGCTTTGGGCCGTCCTTGAAAGATTTATCCATTTCCTTGAAAAGTTAGATTCACACAGGAGACAGAAAGATCTTCCATCCACTGGTTCACTCCCCAAGCGGCCACAATAGTTGGACCTGAGCCGATCTGAATCCAGGAGCAAAGAGCTTCTTCTGGGTCTCTTGTGTAGGTGCAGGGTCCCAGGGCTTTGGGCTGACCTCGACTGCTTTCCCAGGTCACAGGCAGGGAGCTGGAAGTGAAGCAGCTGGGGCATGAACTGACATCCCTATGGGATCCTGGTATATACCCAGGTGAGGACCTTAGCCACTAGGCTACTACATTGAGCCCAAGAATATTTTTTTAAAGCCAACTCATTCTATTTGAAAAGATAAAGGAGGGGCCTGGTGCAGTGGCTTAGTGGCTAAAGTCTTCACCTTGAGTGTGCTGGGATCCCATATGGTCGCCTGTTCTAATGGCAGCCCTGCTTCCCATCCAGCTCCCTGCATGTAGCCTAGGGAAGGGAGTTGAGGACGTCCCAGAGCCTTAGGACCCTGCACCCATGTGGGAGACCTGGAAGAAGTTCCTGGCTCCTGGCTTCAGATCGGTGCAGTACCGGCCGTTGCAGTCACTTGGGGAGTGAACCATCAGACGGAAGATCTTCCTCTCTGTCTCTCCTCCTCTGTATATCCACCTTAAATCAAAAAAAAAAAAAATCTTAAAGATTTAATTTTATTATTTTTTTATTGGAAAGGCGCCGGGCCCAAAAAAAAATCTTAAATGAAAAAAGATAAAGGTACCTAGATTCTAAAACTGTCTACTTGGTGGGAGGGAGATTTGGGTGATGGCGTGATGGCAAGCACTGGCGCGTCAGGCAGGCATCAGGTTCAGTTTTGAAATCCCAGCTCAGTTTATTCACATGATGCTGACTTTTCTATGATCTCCACATTACTGATGCAACACCTCAGGCTAAAGCGAAGTGAACTGGGTTCTCTAAGGCGTGATGCCAGGACGCTCCAGAGCCCCAGCGTTTAGCCCTGATCACGGGCAGGTGGGCACGAGGGAGTGGAGGTTGCTGACCGAGGGACACGTAGGGGAAACGGCAAGCCTTTCTGAACCTGTAGAACAACACACTCTGTGAACCACTTCCTAAAAGGTGAGTGGAAATCCACAAAGGTCAAAAGTGGCATCTGAAATAGAGGAAAGTATTAGCAATTCCGGGTCTCCCACGCGGGTGCAGGGTCCCAAAGCCTTGGGCCGTCCTCGACTGCTTTCCCGGGCCACAAGCAGGGAGCTGGAAGGGAAGCGGGGCTGCCGGGGTAGAACCGGCGCCCATATGGGATCGCGGACCCCAAGCACTGCACCACCACGCCGGGCCCTAAACTTCATTTTAAAATACAAATTCAAAAGGCTCAAATACGGTGTTCCTTCCTATTCCTGTCTTCCCTGGAAGCAGTTCTGTATTACTTCAGATACATTTTACAAGCTAAATGTTGCTGATTCCCCGTTTTCCTTAAGGTACGCAGTGAGCTGTCCTCTTAAATCTTGGCTGTAGTGCCGCCTCAGTTCTGTCCCCGACTCCCTGCCCTCTGACAGATGCAGTATTCCACTTACACGTATGGGTGACAGGTTAGCCAGCTTGGTGCTTCTCCATTTATGGTGGAGCTCTGCACCAATAAACCCGTTATAAATTGAAAAATACATTTACATTTAATTTCACTTTATAGTCAAAGGTTTAATGGAAAACCTTAGGGTGAAAACACTTCAGCCTAGCCACGCAGTGCAGCGTAGTTACTGCTGGGGCCTGGAGAGCGCTCACTGCCACCGCCCAGAAGGAAGCTCCGAGCGTGTGTTCTTGGCCGGGACCAAACAGCAACAAAAGTTAAGGAAAACCATCAGTGTCGTTTCTGCTTTCATCCATCAGCACACACACGATTAGACGTGACTGGTGTACGGTTTCCGCATTCGCACCGTGGTGTTTGAAACATTTTAATGTACACAATGCATAACAACAGCTGGGGGAAAAAATGCCAAAAACAGTATATAACTTTTATATTACTGAACTTTATGTACAAAATCATTTGATTTCAAATAAACATTTAATGTAAAAACAAACGTTCTTTTAAACTGAATTTTTTTTACATCTACTGTACCATTCAAAAGCTTTATCATTTTACATGATTTCTTCAAAATCTGTTATCAAGGGTACATATAGAAAAGCTTTTTTTTTTATAAATAGAAACAAAGGGATTTTTTCAGCTTTTATTATAAGATGACATAAAAAGTTTACTCAACAGAAGTAATTTTATTACTATTTGGGGAGGGGAATCACCAACTTTTTGTGCAAACAATGCTAGCCTTCTTTTAAGCGTTAAGAGCATAACTGCTTAAGAAATGACATAAGCAATAATTCTACACCTACATCTCCCCTAAAATAATCTATTTTTTTTTTTTTTTACATATGTGCACAGCTTTAGCAAATTAAAGCTCGAGAGAAATGCTCGAGATCCACTATCCAAAGGCAAAAATGCGTTTCCTGGCCTGGAACTCATCACTGGGAGAGTTTACCAATCAAGGAATCTGTACTGAAAGCTGCAGTCTCCCTCTTTCCTATTTTAACACAGAAATCAATGACTAAGAACTGAATACTGGATGACAGTTCACATCCACACTATCTGTTAAATAGTCTCACAGTTAAACACATCTTAAAGACCAATCAAACCAGTATTTACACTTTATAAATTTCTGAAGACACCATTAGAAAGCTTATATATCCCTTCATTAAACAAAATAGGGAACTGCATCTGATGGTGGTGGAATGAAACTAAAAAATCAAAAATACCTGTATTTACAGCAGCATTGATCCTTTATAAATAAAGAATATGAAAATGCAATATCTTTAAGGATAATAAAAAATTGAGGTGATGTTACTTAACCACAGTGCTTGGAGTTGGAATAAAGACCTATCGGTGCTTATTAATGTGCCAGTAGTGAAACTGCTTTCTGTTGGAAAAAATCCAACTGCAAATGTGTGTAGAACACACAACACAGGGCAAAACTGCTCAAAAATAATTCAAGTCAGCTTATCTGCATTGGATATTTTAACCATGAAATACATTACAAAGACATCCTTGTCAAGAGGGAAAAAAAAAAAAAAGAACAGTTTCTGGTTCATCTCCCCACTCCTGAAAAAAGAGGCATCTGAAAAACTTCAGACTGATTCTTCCCACGGTTTACAGTCTTAATGAAAAGATGCGAACAGCTGAATTTTCCATGTGGTTACATAACCGGAAAGAAAAAAAACAAAAACAAACAAACAAAAAAAACAAACAGTGAAATGTTCAAGTTTTAAAATATACTGGGTTGAGCAATGCACTACAATTAACCACTGAAAACAAACGGTCAGTAACCTTATAAATCAATGTGACATTTCACTGTCAACAATGTGAACAATTAACTCTCAGACAGGCATTAGATGAAGAAGTGCTACTTTAAAATTGTAAAATGAATTGTATATGAAATCTGAATTCAAATTTATGATTTCAAAATCAAGGAACAAAGTTTGACTGTAAATGTGGTAATGTAACAGAATTTCGCAGTGTTCAATTTCTTAAAAAAAAAAAAAGAGGGAACTGCTCCAATTTTCCCTCACCAAGAAAATATCCTGCAATACAAAGTAGAAAAACAGCAGTCACAAATGCAAAAAGCATTAAATATGAAATCATTTCTAGAGTTTATACATTTCATAAGACAACTGCTGCACTTAAAAATACTTTCTCTTAAGTATTGCTTTGCATGCTCAAACTAGAAAATGTTTTTGACATCAATAAAACTGATAAACATGTAACGGTGTGTGGCGAGCAGCAGGACCTGGTACCACTCTCCTCGTGGAAATCATTCACTTCATCTAACACTGCCTGTCGGGAGCCTGTGACATTTTGCTTTTTGTTTTTAAACAAAAGAAAACCACAACTCTTCATCGAGGCTGAATTCCCTTGAATGCAACTTCAGTGTTTGTCCATGACATGGGGTTAGGTTTTATTTTCAGAGTTTTTGCTTTTTGCTCTGTTTTGAAACCCCTGAGACACCATCTGTTTCCAAAGCTTTCTCTTTTGAGTTAACGTCACTAAATCCGTTTGCTGTTCCATTTTGTTCTTCAGTTATTTCTTCATTTGTAGGGGATGCAGTTTCTCCTTTTTCTAGTTTTTGCTGCATTTCACGGAGCTTGGTAACAGCTTTATCTATTGACATTATGCTAATAAGATTAAAGTCATGCATGCTGACTAGATGAAGCATAAAGTTTCGACATAAATTCTTCTTAATTATCTTCTGTCCATAATTTTCTACAAACAGCATACAGGCATGATTCATTTGATTGTCAGCAATAAACCTATGCAGATAAAACAAAACATTAACAGCAATACAAACCATTAAATCAACCACAACAGTGATAACCATTAACAACAGGGTCATACCCAAATCTAGTCAAAAGGAATTTAATAAGCAGTGGGAGCTGAGATTTCCTGAACAATGTAACCAGTGCTCCAACACTTGCTTTTGTTAAAGCAGATGTCACTTTTGTATACAATATTTTCTTTTGGAAGCACCATGTTTACTGATTCTCTATACAAACACTACCCTTTAGATTTTCTCCATGATCTTCTTGACATTCTCATGATAACATTTTTATTTGTTATTTGAAACGCAGATTTATACTGAGGAAAAGCAGAGAAGTCTATCTGCTTTTTTACTCCCCAAATGGCTGCAACAAGCACAGGAGAACTGATTCAAAAGGGAGCCAGGAGCTCCTGCTCCTAGGACCCGAGCCGTCCTCCACTGCTTTCCGAGGCTGGACGGGAAGTGGAGCAGCAGGGACACGATCTGGCACCCATATGGAACGCCCATGGAGGATTAGCCTGATACACTACGCTGCTGGTCCCTAGACATTTATATAAGTATTCTTTGGAAAATGTTAGAGATTGGGTGTCCAATAGTTCACTTCCCAAATGGTACAACCACCAGGGCTGGTCAAGAGGAAACCGGGAGCCCAGAATTTCACGCACACCTCCCGAGTTGATGCAGTGGTCTAAGCATGCAGGCCATCATTCTGCCTCTTGCACACTATTACTATTAGGGAACTGGAAGCAGACTGTAGCCACCAGGACTTGAATCAGTGTCTGTATGGGTTGTTGGTGTAGCAGCTGACGATTTTGTCGGTGACACTGTACTGGAAGACCTAAATCAAATCTTAAAAAAAAAAAAAACTTTTAGAGCCCAGCGTGATAGCATAGCGGCTCAAGTCCTTGCCTTGAATGCACCAGGATCCCATACGGGCGCCAGTTCTAATTTCAGTTGCTCCACTTCCCATCCAGCTCCCTGCTTGTGGCCTGGGAAAGGACGGCCCAAAGCCTCGGGAGACCCAGAAGAGGCTCCTGGCTTCGGACTGGCTCAGCTCTAGCCATTGTGGCCACTTGGGAAGTGAACCATGGATGGAAGATATTCCTCTCTGTCTCTCCTCCCCTATATATATCTGCCTTTTCAATAAAAATAAACAAATATTAGTTTTTTTAAAAGTGCTGATGCTGGGGGATAGTAGTTTCAAAGCCAGGACCTGACCTGCTGGTTCAAGTCCTGATTACTCAATTTTTGATCAAGCTCCCTCTAGGGTCTGAAGGTAACAGAGTATAGCCTTTCAAACAAACAAAATTAAAATCTACTATTTTTTATAGTAACTGCAAGAATAAGTAATATATTTGTGGTTGTGCTGGTGGCTAGGTGCATGAAATCATACAGAACAATAACTACACTGAAACATCGTCCAACATGGAAACCTTAATACCTGCGCATCTTAGAAAGCCAAGTTAGTGCCTCTACTTTACACTGCCACGATAGGAAAACCTGAAGAGGTGTAAAATGAACAGATTTGAATGAAAGCACTGGAACAGAACTGGCTAAGTAATTTGAGAATTCACTTAATTCTCTGCCTTGATTTTGACCTAAGATACAAAGCAGAAATCAGGCATACTCTCTCTAGTAATTTTTATTTCTTAATTTGTGGTAATAATTCTGAAATTAAATTTCCAGAATTTTCAGACATGTAACACATTAACAAAGAAGACATTATTAATCTAAAACTTTCAGAAATTACTCTGCCTGAAAAGTTACAATATCAAGCTGCTCAACTCAACTCATGTAAATACACAAATAAGGAAAGAAAACAAAAAGGCTCTTTAAATACTTTGTTAGGAGGTGGAAAATTTTTTCCTTTGTTTTTCTAAATGTCACTATTTTCTTTATATAATCCAAACACTTTGAGCTAGGAATGATGGACACACAACTAAATTAATCAAATGTGGAGCACATCCCCAACAGATAAAGCTGCAGAATATGACAGAGCAGGGCCAGCACCGCAGCACAGTGCACTCGGCTGCCCTTTGCAGTGCTGCACACCACACGGGACCAGGCTGAATCCTGCCAGTCCCACTTCTGATCCAGCCCCCTGCTAACGCACCTGAATCAGGCAGATCTGTCTCTTACCCGCTCCCCCTCTGTGGGACTGCCTTCAGATCAGTCAATCTCAAAATAACAGGAAGCAGCAAGAACAGCATAAACAAGGCAATATTTAAATTAACTTAAAAATGCCCTACCCATGCTTCATGACATGGAGGTTCCATAGCTTCATCACTTCTTTTTCTCCTTCATTAACATCAGAGAACTCTTCAATTTGCTAAAACATTAAAAAACAAAACTGAGTTAAGAGTAAATTGATTTTACGAAAAAACTGACTTAAAAATATTTTAAAAGTAAAAATGGCAAAGTGATGTTTCTTAAAATCAACTTCTATTTAAGTAGTAATTTAGAAACAAATCAAGCTATAAGTTACCTATGAATATAGAAAATATTCAATATTCACAAAGAATTGAAATTATGCAATTATAAAAACTTCTGAATTCCTTCACTTTGAAAAACAGCTTTTCAAAAAATTCATTTAATCATAAAATTCTAAGATCACCACTAACTGAAATGAGTAAGATGACACTTACTGTAATGGTTTTTTCTCTTAGCCATTCAGGATCCTTTTCATCTTCACTGTCTACCTCCATTTCTTGTGGACGGAGAGGTAAGCAGGTGTCACTATGGAAATACAGGCGATTGTGGCCACTACTGTAGGTGCGCTGCTGTTCCACTTCTCCGTCTTCAGATTCAAGAAATTCAGACATGCTTGCTTTTGTTCGCTTTGGCCTAATGAAAATAAATATGTAAATGTGGCACCTACATCTATACCAATTAACCACAGAAATGCAATAATTTACAATATCATCATTTTATCAAACCATAACAGTAGGAAGCTATCCCACCCTCCATTCTCTTCTATCTATGCATGTGAAGCTGACCTATGGCATGTCAAAATCAAAGTATTAAGGATAAAATTAAATGTCTGGATGTCAAATCTAGAAGAGAATACAAAAAAGTGCAATTTAGCATTCATTAAGGCAAAAATATGCATATACAATGTAAAAATTGTGGACTGTAACAATATGAAGGTACAAAGTGGAAAACCACAATATTGATTATAACTACACAGGAATTTCGTTTTTTTGTTTGTTTTTTAGATTTACAAAGGTAATTTCTCACAAACAAAATAATCTCAGCAGTCAAATCAGTGGCTGTGAACACAGCACTGAGATAGTAATGCCTAGAGGAGGTTCCTCAGGGTCAAGTGGTGCCTCACAGGACACTCATGTGGGCAAACAACACAGACAGTTCTTTTTGCTTGTGTATTGGACAGGCAGATTTACAGTGGTTTACTCCCCAGGTAGCTGCAACAGCCAGAGCGGATCCAAAGCTAGGAGTTAGGAGTCTCCTCCAGCTCTCTCATGCTGTACAGGGTCCCAAGGCTTTGGGCAGTCCTCAACTGCTGTCCCTGGTCGCAAGCAGGGAGCTGGATGGGAAGTGGAGCTGCCGGGACACGAACCAGTGGCCATATGGAATCTTGGTTGATTCAAGGCAAGGATTTAGGCACTAGGCTAATGTGTAAGGGCCCAACAGTTTTTTTTTTTAAAAAAGACCATGAATAACTGGTTTTATTTATACATGAATGATGTCCAAGTTTGGGAAACATTTCTATAAAAAAAATTTTTTATGATTAAACTTAAAGCAATCCACAGGACCAGAAAACTGAGGGGCAACAGCTGACAGTAATGGGAAGTGGAGAAAAACGAAGCAAATGCACACTGCACACACTGTTCTTCCTATGTTTCATTTCAGCTGTGACTCAACAAGCGACAAGGTCTTCTCTGGTTTTGACAGATTCACTTTGCCCTTCTGTGTTAGCCTCTTAAAGCAATCTGAAAGCTGTGAAAGGGCACAGGAAAGGGTGCAGAATTCTTTATAGTTCACATTACCCTACAGTGTGCAGGTGCCTACCTAGGTATGCATACAGAAACTTTTTAGGTAGGCATTTTTAAATGCAGTAACCAGTGCAGGAAGCAGTAACCATGAACAATCAAAACTCAGAATAAAAGAAGTCAGAGAATAAACTTTTATCAAAGGATTTTCTTGTTACTTACCTGCACACAAGAATGTGTGTAATAGGCGTTCTCTTTACTGGTCCATTTCGGCTAAAAGCAAATCCAGGTTGGCGATGAATATCCTGAGGATTTCCTGCGTAGGAGCCATCATAACACTCATTGATAGAAACATCTATCCTAGCACCTTTTGGATGATACTGTGAACAAAACAAAACAAAGTATTTGCACTTTATTTTCTAAAAAAAAAAAAACAAAAAACACACACACACACACACACAAAAAAACCCCTCATTTATTTCAAAACAAAAGCTATACACAAACAGAGCCAGAAATCTTCCATCCAATGTTACTCCCCAGATAACCTCAACTGCAGGCATGACCAGTTGGAGCCAGGAGCTTCTGGCACGTCTCATACATGCAGACAGAGCCCAAACACACGTGCCTTCCCTGGCACATCAACAGGGAACTGGATATAAAAATAGCAGTCAAGACTCAAACCAGCACTCTGATATGGGGTGCGGGTACTGGAATCAGCAGCTCAGCCCACAGTGCACAATGGCAGCCCAGATTCTTTATGTTCTGAAACTCAAGTCAGGAATATCAGTCTGGTGTATAGAAATTCACAAGAGTGTCTGGTATGACGGCCCAGTGGCTAAATCCTCCCCTCGCACACACCAGGATTCCGTTTGGGTGCCAGTTTGTGTCACGGCTAAACTACTTTCCATCCATCTTCCTGCTTGTGTCCTGGGAAAGCAGTGGAAGATGGCACAAAGCTTTGGGACCCTTCACTATGTGGAAGACAGAAAAAGTTCCTGGCTTCGAATTGGCTCAGGTGTAGCTGCTTGGGGAGTGAACCAGCAAATGGAAGAACTTTCTTTGTATTTCCTTCTCTTTGCAAATTTGCCTTTTGAATCAAAATTAATAAATCTTATAACAAAAACTCAGAAGATGTGAGGTAAAAAATGTGTTGAAATACTGAGCTGACACTGTGGCAAAACCAGTTAATCCATGCCTTACAATCCCCAGCATCCTGTGTCCGAGCGCAGGTCTGAGTACTCGCTGCTCTGCTTCCAGTTCAGCTCCCTGTAAATGTGATAGGGAAGATGGACAATTGCTTGAGTGTTTGGGGTCATGCTACCCATGGATGGAATTCCAGTATCCTGGCTTTGCCCTGGACCAGTCACTGCTACTAAGGTCATTTCGGAAGTGAACCAGAAGATGGAAGATGTTTTGTCTCTTTAACTCTGCCTTTCAAAAAAATCTATATAAAAAAAGAAGCTAGGGCCCGGCAACGTGGCCTAGCACCTAAAGTCCTCACCTTGAAAGTGCCAGGATTCCAAATAGGCACCGGTTCTAATCCTGGCAGCTCATTTCCCATCCAGCTTCCTGCTTGTGGCCTGAGAAAGCAGTCGCGTTCGGCCCAAAGCCTTGGGACCTTGCACCCATGTGGGAGACCTGGAAGAGGCTCCTGGCTCCTGGCTTCAGAACAGCACAGCACCAGGTATTGCGGCCACTTGGGGAGTGAATCAGTAGAAGGAAGATCTTCCTGTCTCTCCTCCTCTATCTGACTTTGCAATAAAAATAAAATAAATCTGGGCCCAGCAGCGTGGCCTAATGGCTAAAGCCCTCGCCTCGAACATGGTGGGATCCCATATGGGCGCCGGTTCTAATCCCAGCAGCTCCACTTCCCATCCAACTCCCTGCTTGTGGCCTGGGAAAGCGGTCAAGGACGGCCCAAAGCCTTGGGACACTGCACCTGTGTGGGAGACCTGGAAGAAGTTCCTGGATCCTGGCTTTGGATCGGCATAGCACCGACCGTTGGGCTCACTTGTGGAGTGAATCATCAGACGGAAGATCTTCCTCTCTGTCTCTCCTCCTCTCTGTATATCTGACTTTCCAATAAAGAAAAAAAATATATTTAAGAAAAATAATAAAATAAATCTTAAAAAAAAAAAGTCTGGGGGCAAGTTTTGGGGGTATAGTATGTTAAAGTCTCCTTTGAATGCCTACACCCATACCATGGTGTCTTGGATTCAACCCTGGTTGTTTCCAAGGCAAGTTCTTGCTACTAATGTGCCTGAGAGGTAAGAGATGATGGCCCAAGTACACAGGGCCCAGCAATACAGAGACACAGGATGGAGTTCCTGGCTCTTCAGTTCTGTCTGGCCCAGCTCCGGCTAATGCAGTAATGTGAGAAATAAACCAAAGATTGGGGGGGTCTGAACTGTTCTTGCTAAAAATGCCTGATATAAAATCTAAATCATTTATTGTAATGTACTCATAGCAATCGATTAATGCAGAATTTCTGGAATTTTTACACAAATTACAAACTGAGAAGTTAGGATGTCTCACTTCATATGTAGTATTAGTGATAAAGAGAAGTGAAAAATGACTTACAACATAGTTGAAGATAAACCTGCTATGGCAGAGTTTAAGATGCTTCAATAAGCTGTACAGTTTGCGGCAGTTCAGGGTGCACCAAGGGCAATGGAGGTCATCTCTTGCTTCAGTCTGCTGTCTTGTGTTATTGTTGTAAAGAAACTAAAAAACACAAAACCAACAAACCATCAAATCTCTAAGAACAGCTAAAAAATTTACAAAACAAAATCAAATTCAAGATCTCCCCAAATTTCAGATTATAAACATGAGTACTTAAAAAGAAGGATCCGCTGTATTTACCTGATAAAATATTCTTAACTTTTGTCTGTTTTCATTTGAAGTATCTTTTTCTTTTCTTGTTTGTAGATCTGTAGGCAGTGACTCTTTAACAGCTGAAAATAATTTTATATTTAATGAGGATATTAGCGTCCAAGAAAATGTCAAGAAAATCATGAAACATTAACACTTTACAGAATTCTATTTGTTTCTGCTAACATAATTTTAGTCCTCATCCTCAACCGACGATCATCAGAATAATCCCATTAATCAATACCTCTAATCAGATGTTAAGATCATTATTGGAAGGATTAAAAACCCTGTGTTCTAAACTGCCCTAGAAATAGTAATGTTCTGTTCTCAGCACTTTGCCCTAAGCACCTGTCAGACACTGCTGTCTGCTGATTGTGTCCCACTGCCCAGCAGGAACGCAGCATTCAGTAGGCGATTCTTAACCAAACCTTACACCACGAAACAAAAAAAAAGGTTGGCGGCTGTATTAGAACCATTCGAGGTCTCAATGATGATGATGATCATCAGTTGTTTTGCTCTATCTCCTTTCAGAAATAAGAGGGGTATTTTTCCTGATGTAGCCACAATTGAATGTGTGTGCATGCATGCACATATTCACATATACTTCTTTGATTTATTCTCAGCAGACATAGATCATTTCTTGCATCTAACAAGATGTTGACAGAGTCCTGCACATGATGAATGTGAACAAGAAGTCAAAGCCAATGACATTGTAATCCTTGTGCATTCTTTAAACAGTAAGATAAAAACACAGGAATGTGGGCCTGGCAAGGTAACCTAGTGGCTAGTCCTCAGCCTGCATGCAATGGGATCCCACACAGAAGCCAGTTCTATTCCAGGCTGCTCCACTTCCCACCCAGCTCCCTGCTTGTGGCCTGCGGCACTGGGACCCTGCAGCCTGCTTGGGAGACCCATAAGAGGCTCCTGGCTTCAGATCAGCCCAACTCTGCCCATTGTGGTCAAATAGGGAGTGAGCCAGAGGATGGAAGATCTTTCTCTGTCTCTTCTGTGTATCTGCCTTCCCAATAAAAATAAAATCTAAAAAACAACAGAAACAACCCTATGCTCTCAGGCCTGAAGCTGTGCTCCTGGGACCGAGGGTGTTGGTATAACGTAAAGGCAATCCCTGTAGTGCTGATGTCCTATACAGGCACTGGTTTGAGTTCTGGTTGCTCCACTTTCCACCCAGCTTCCTGCGAATGGGCCTGGAGTGAAAGGGACAACGCTTAAGTACTCGGGCCCTGGCACCCGAAGAAGCTCCTGCTGCTGGGTTTAGCCTGGCCCAGTCTCAGCCACTGTGGCCAGGTAGATGTCAGCTTGCTTATTTGTTCTCTCTTCCAAACAAAACTTAGTGTTCAGCAAGTTGAACTGCAAGTTCAGCCTTAACTCAGCAGAACATTAAATCCACCTCTTTTTCTTACAATGGACTGTAGGGATGAGCATTTTGCTTAGTGGTTAAGCCACGAGGCTGGAGCCTCCTCTGGGTCTCCCACGCGGGTGCAGGGTCCCAAGGGTTTGGGCCGTCCTCGACTGCTTTCCCAGGCCACAAGCAGGGAGCTGGATGGGAAGCAGGGCTGCCAGCATTAGAACCGGCGCCCATATGGGATCCTGGCACGTTCAAGGCGAGGACTTTAGGTGCTAGGCTATTTGCAAGGCACTATAATCTGAACTTTTTAAAACTTGGTAGAGAGATAGATTGGAACAGTTTGAGAGTCTTACACCTTGGGGTTTACTGCCCAAATGACTGCAATCCCAGGCTTATACCAGAAATTGAATCCAGCTCTCCCATGTATGTGGCAGTGACCAAAGCACTTATGCTGCCACCTGCTACTATCAGTGTTTGATATTAGCCAGGAAGCTGGAATCAGGAAAGACTTGGACTAGAACTCAGTCTCGTACCTGAGGCTTCCTTACCTGCACTGTGACTACCTAGGTTGAATATTAACCCCTGTGATAAATGCAGTATCTCTACTGAGGTTCCCTTACCAATGGCTTGAGCAGTTTTAACTGAACCAGGCTTATTTTCTTGATGCAGACTCTCTGAATTTCTAGTAGCAAGAGGCTTGGCTACAGGCGCTGTAGACTTATCATTGGTCTCTCCTGTCCACCGAAGAGTAAACTGCAACGTAGGTCCCTGAGAAAATGTTTCAAATGGAGGCAGCCTCTAAAAAATAAAATCATCAAAAGGTGACAAAATTGTAGGCATAAAAAAAAAAAAAAAGAAAAAAACCACATTCCCTTCACAAGTCATCATGATCTAAGTTAAAAGATTTTCCTAAACAATCAAAGAGATGGACAATAAAATAAATGTATGTTGTAGACACTATTTAGAGGGAAAGGACACACAGACTAGCTCAGAAGAAACTTCTTAGCAGGAATAGCTGAATTGTTGCCATGAGGAAAAATGGATCCAGCACAGCCAAATGTTCACATTTTTTTTCTTTTTAAAGACTTATTTTATTTTTCCTGGAAAGGCAGATATACAGAGAGGAGAGACAGAAAAGAAGATCTTCCATCTGATGATTCACTCCCCAAGTGACAACAACAGCCACTGCTGCTCCAATCCGAAGCCAGGAGCCAGGAACTTCCTCCAGGTCTCCCACACGGGTGCAGGGTCCCAAGGCTTTGGGCCGTCTCCTCCACTGCTTTCCCAGGCCACAAGCAGGGAGCTAGATAGGAAGTGGGGCTGCCAGAATTAGAAACGGGATCCTGGAGCGTTCGAGGCAAGGACTTTATCCACCAGGCCACCGGCACAGGTTCGCAAATGTACACATTTCTTTAGTGAAACAAGAAATCCAAGCTTTCATAAGAAAGATTCCCAATTTGTTATGTTGATAAACAATTCACAATATTCTTAAAACACAGCTAACAAAACTGTGCTTTCCAAAGCCTTCCAAGTCCTTTCGGTAAACTGTCAAATCCAGCACTTAGTTCTCAAGTCTCACTGATATCCCTTTTTGTTCCTAGCTAATCTTTAGGCATGTGCATCAATTTCTCATCCATCTTCAATGATTTACCTATAAAGCTGATGACTCCAAATTGATCCTTCATCTTTTCTTTATACTTACACCCTAAATCCGAACCTTTACTTGCGTCACTGTCATTGCTCACCTGATAATAACATTGTCATCTTGAACTAAAATACCTTTAGAAGTAATGTCCCTATCTTTTGATTAAAATAAACTTTCCAGGGACAGAAGTTTGATGCAGCATTTAAAATAACACGTTGGGCGCCCACATTAGAATTATAACTTCAGCTGGATGTTTTTGTTTCTGCCTTCCAAATAAATAAAAACCCAAAACTAATTAAATAAGCTTTCCTTCCTAATACAACTATATTTACTTCTGGTATCATTCTATTAATGACTCTAAACTTAAATTTTCAAAATCACAATTAACTCCTATAATTTCATTTCTCTTATGTAATCACCAAATCCTTTTTAAAATTTCTATGATCTCTCCCTTCAAGGATGATAATAAAAATGTTAGTAAAGAATCATACTTCCGGGCCTACACAGTGACCTAGCTACTAAGGTCCTCGCCCTGTACGCGCCAGGATCCCATATGGGCACTGGTTCACGTCCTGGCTGCTCCACTTCAGATCCAGTTTCTTGCTAATGCACCTGGAAAGCAGTGGATGAAGGCCCACATTCATGGGTCCTATGACCAACATGGGAGCTCCAAATGGAATTCTATGCTCCTAACTTAGGACCAGACTGTTCCAATGTAGCAGCCATTTGTGAACTGAACAATCAGCACAGTGTGTCCTTGCTATGCATATACTGGGATCCCACATGGGCTCCCTCCTGCTGCTGTCCTGGCAGCTCCACTTCCCATCCAGCTCCCTGCTTGTGGCCTGGAGGAGCAGTTGAGGACGGCCCAAAGCCTTGGGACCCTGCACCCTTGTGGGAGACCCAGAAGAAGCTCCTTGGGTTTTGGCTTTGGACTGGATTAGGTCTGGCCAGTGCGGCCCCTTGGGTAGTGAACCAGGGCACAGAAGAAGACCTTCCTCTCTCTCTTCTCTGTAAATCTGACTTTCCAATTAAAAAAAAAAAAAAAACTAAATCAAAACAAAAATGTAAATGTGCATGCACACTTTCATAAATTTAGAATGAAGTGAAACTATAATCATATAACATGGTTTAATATAGCAAGTCTGTCTAGGAATTTATTTTACCGAAAGACTTCCAAAGCAATGTGTATTAACGTATAATAATTTTCGTAAAAACAAATAAATTAGGGGGCTAACACTGGCGTCAGCATCCCATCACAGCAGTGGTTCATGTCAGCTCCGTCCACTTCAGAACCAGCCTGCACATATGGGAAGCAGCACAAAGATGGTCCAAGTGTTTGGAGCTTGGTCTGCACATGGGAGACCCAGATGAAGGTTTCAGCTTCAGTCTGGCTGTTGCAGCCATTTGGGGAGTGAAGCAGCAGGTGGGGGATCTGTCTCTCCCTATCTAATTGTGCCTTTCAAATAAGTAAAATAAATCTTAACAAAAATAATAAACACAGAGATGGCCACAAAATTTTAGATGACTGTTTCATCCATCCTTTATTCATTTTTTCTAGACTGTTTATCTTGTTCTTACTTCCTTATAAATTCATAGTATAATGAGTTCATTATATTGTTTTATTCCAACTATACAATTTCTATTTTTTATTCTACATTTTTCAAAGTAAAGATGTAATAAAGTTTTACCAGTCATTTTTAAGTTTTCTGACTTGTATCATCCTTCGAAGGGCCTTTCTCGGTCCAAGTCTATTAAAAGGAGTGCTACTTTTTATGTTTATGTTTACGAGCCTTCTGGAACTTATTATGTACAAATTTATCTCCAGAATGTTAAAATTTAAAACAAATAAACCAATAAAATAAAATATACAAAAAAAGCCAGAGGGCTACAATCTGTTGTAACTGTTAAGCTCTCCCATACAAAATTAATCACAACCTTTATCATACACTGAATTCCAAGCATACATATTATTTCAGGACTATGCATCAAGAACCATAGTATATCATTTGTGGTTTATTTTATGCTTACTGTATGTGCAATCATACGTGGTAAATAAAGGTTTTCAGAATACATTTCCAATAATATTATTTTTAGTTTTCGCTTATGATAATACACTGATGAATTTAGAAAAGACACTTGTACTTTGAGGCTGCCTATTCAAGAAACATAGGTATATCCATTTATCTTATCATGTAGAAAGTATTTTAAATAAGCTATATTAAACTCTGTATATTTCTTGCAAATTTATGCTGTCATCTGTTACTTGCTGTTGTATCAGTGATTTAATACAGCAGTTAACATTTATTGAGCACTTATTGTATGTCAGGTACAGTGCTACCTAAGCTATAAATTTTATTAACTCACTCACTTACTGCACCAATTTCATCCCTTACCTTGCAGATGAGAAAAACTGAGACACAGACAGGAATTTCACCAAAGTCATTCAAATAAGAGCAAAGATTTGAATCGGGCCGTCTAGCTTGAAGAGCAATGCCTTTCCATTAAATACTATGTCATTTTACTTGTGTTTCTCAAAGTTCCAAAAATGAAGGACTTTATTTCCAACATGAATTTGTATTTGGGAAGAAAAAGGAGTTCAGAAATAGAAGTTCCTAGCTACCAGGTGCTCACAGTACTTATGCGTCCATACCTTCCCATCAAGAATAGTCTCCCATGTTGCTCTTTTCTTGCTTATTGGACATTCTTCCATTTCCTGCATGGCTACTTCATATTCCCCATCTAAAAGCTGTAAGCGCCTGTTAGACAAACAGATACACCTTAGAGTAACCTGTGTATTACTGTTTAAGCATACAATCTACAACTTAAGGTCTACACTAAAAAGCATTTATTAAATGTATATTCAATGAGATTTAAAATATATCCATACTCCAGACCTGACAAAACCAATGCTAATAAGGTACACTTGTAACTATTTACATACACAATTATTTTATTACTGCAACAATTCAGACATAACTTCTAAGATTTAGTTATTTTTATTGCAAAGTCAGAAATATAGAGAAGGAAAGTGAGGAAGATCTTCCGTCTGTTGATTCACTCCCCAGGTGACCGCTATGGCCAGTGCTCCACCAATCCGGAGCCAGGAGCTTCCTCCGAGTCCCCCACGTGGGTGCAGGGTCCCAAGGCTTTGGGCCATCCTTGACTGCTTTTCCAGGCCACAAGCAGGGATTTGGATGGGAAGTGGAGTTGCTGGGATTAGAATCAGGGCCCATATGGGATCCTGGTGTGTTGAAGGTAGATTTCAGCTGCTAGGCCATGGTGCCGGGCTCGACATAACTTTTAAATAGTCAAGTATCATACACTTAAGGTTTTCAAAGATCTCCCAAGTTTTAAACCTTTTAAAGCAGGTAAGCAGATTTTACACTTTGAAAGACAGGATAGTGATAGTGATAGTGCCTCAGGGAATCACTGAGATGTACACCTGATATTCTTAATTAATATAAACGTTTAAGTTAGATTTTTTTTTTTTGGTCACATTTGACCAGTAAACTAACTGATCATTATAAATATGATCAGAGCTGCTAAGAGCAGGATCTTGGGTGCCGCTTGTACATCCAGGTGACTGCTGGAGTCTGCAATGGGTGTGGAGGAAGATGTGCAGAGAACTGTTCCTCCGTAGGCAAGGGCCCAGCGGATGTCTCTGCAACCACCTGCAAGCAGTCCCACCTCCCTTTGCATGGACACCCGACCACCCTGCTAAGTCTGTGATCTATTCCGGCATTATTTGCAGCTGCAGAGTTGGTTTTTACTATCAATATGAGCTTGGAAGTTGAAGTTAATGATAACCTTTTACAATTTGTGCTCTGTCTCTGCTATGCCCTCCTCCTGTGATACACTTCCTCCCTCAACTGATTCAAGATTAAGTTGTAGAATGAGGACTGTACTAGGAATCTACTACTGATTGATATGCACCATCTACTGTGAACTTCTATTGAGAGCTTTAAGACAAAACAAATTACAGAATTATCCTTGGGAACACCCACTTGACCATGACATAAAAAGTCTGTGCCAGAAATTATGACTGCTTCTGTATAAATAAAGGGGACAGCTTTATTGCATTGTCCATTATGATCATGAAATCATAGTGGTCCCATTTCTTTCCTCTTTATGCCTACTCCAATGCATCTTTCTCGAGTTCAGAACTCAGCTGCAGCTGGACTCTGGCAGGTGATCAATAAATGATTTAAATTATGACATAATACAGTATTGTTTTAACATATATGAACAGTTTATGTGTGTATATATGTAGTTTGTTTCTCCCTACCCTTGAACACTTGTAACTACTATTCTAAACCCAATTTTCCTACCATGCCTATAATAAACTATATATCGAGAGTTTGGCTTCTCTCTTCAGCCTTAAACAAAATCTACTACATTTTAACAGCTAACAACAGCCGAATGCATACTATGTGCCAGGCACTATTCTCAAGATCTGACATGGCTTCTTTAATGCTCCTGACAACTGATTTAGGTGTGCATCAACATGGGAGACCCAGAATAAGCTGCGGACTTTGCACCAGCCCTGCTCCAGTTGCTGTGGCCATTTGGGGAGTGAACCAGTGAACAGAAGATATTTTCTCTATCTCCCCTCCGTAAATCTGTCTTTCAAACATATGAACATTTTTAAATCCCCCCCACACAAATCACAATGATCAGCCAAATCTAGGAAGTGAATCTATTATGTGAGACACGGACCTTAGCACTAAATAATTTTGAGACTTAAGAATTTTTTGTCTTTTCTGTATGTTGTACTACTTGAATTTAATTACAGGAGCAACCAGGTCTAATTTAAAATTAAAAAGAAAAAACGCTAGGATACATACACCGCACACTGAACGCCAAGGTTCAAACCCCGGCTCTGCTTCCAATTCAGACCTCCTGCTAGGGCACAGCATGGGAAGCAGGAGGGAACACAGCCCAAGGCTGGATGCCAGCACCCACACCTGCTGCCTCCACCTACGCCACTAAAGTCATTTACAGAACGATCCTCAAAAAGGAAAAGTACTTCAGCATAGTTGTTAAACTATCTTTAAAAAGCTTATTTATTTAAACAAGAGGTCATGTACATTTATGTGGCAACACAGTTGTCTGCTTGACAGCTACTCTCAACATACTCCTGCGGCTGCTATTGCGGTGCAGCAAGTAATGTGGCAAAACACGGCACCAGCCCCAGCCCTGACTGAAACACTTCTGATCCAGCTCCCTGCTAGTGTACCTGGGAAAGGCAATCAGTGTAAAATGCCAAGTGCCTGGGCTCCTGGCACACACGAGCAACCAAGATGAAGCTCCTGGCTCCAGTCGGCTCCAGCACGGGCCACTGTAGCCATATCTAGGAACAGAGAGAGTGGCTGGAGACTCTCTCTAAGCTTCAAAATAAATGAATAAATCTTAAAAATATAGTTAATATACTCTATCCATGACACCTGAGGCCTTCCCCCGAGAGCTGACCATTTTTTCACCAGTATTTTTTCACACTTGTCAACCTGATTAGTGAAAAGGTGACATCTTAGCATATTTTATATTCAGAGGTGTGATCCTTTTAGTAGTTTAAAAACTATATATCCCTCCTTTTGGTAAACTTGTTACTGTAGTCTTTAATGATTACTCTGTTTTCCTGTGGCCTTTTAAAATTACATTTATCTTTTCATATTAATGGGATCAGACACTAAAAATCAATTTAAAACTATTTTATTTTTACTTTGGTCAGAGCCACTTTCTAAGATTTTATTATTTATTTTCTTATCTGTGCTGTTTTTCAGCAACAGAACAATTTTGTATTTGCAAATCAAATTTGTTTTGTCATTTGTATAAAAGAGATTCAAGGCAAGGAAACAGTATCACCATACTATATTCTACTTCAGAATGGAAATAACACAATATTATGGTAGTCTCACTTGTCCATTAGGATTACCTGTTTTTATCAAATACTGTCATTTGAGCAACAAACGTCTTTTCCCCATCTTCACGATTTCGTTTTCTTCTGGCTGGAGGTTCTTCATTAACATCTGAGTTTAACATATCACATAAATTAAATATTAAAAAAAACCCAGATCATTTGACATACAGTTGCATAACATAAAACATGCTATTATTTATCCCAAATGAGGTATACATTACACCAAAGGTGCAATATAATGTTTATAAGACAACTTTGCATTTTTACCATGTGTACACATCCTTACTTCTGATAGTCACTGACATCAACCTACAATCTCTGCAAATGCTAATGTCTGTTGGGAGTCATCTTTAATGGCAACTTCCTCCTCACTCTCACTCATGGTTTCTTCTCAAGAACTCAAAAGATTCCGTGTTTTTCCACTGAACTTCACATACACTTTTAGAATAATCCTTATCATCTTGCTGCAATGTATTTCACATCTTCCTCCCTACACCACTATATGTTTTAACCATCTTTACAACCCCAGCACATACATGCTGGTCAAGGTCAAATCATGATCTCAAGAAACCAGAATTGTTGTGAGACCAGAGGGATGGGTAGAAGGAACGCTTATGTGCCAAGCATAATAAAATTCATGTGTAATTGAAGTGGTGAGAAGATAGGCGTTCACTATAGCATTTTTTATTTGAAAAATTTCACTTCATAGTTTTCCAGACTGATAACAGCAGCCCTTCTAGCTTTGAAAGGTTAAGATTTTAAAATAATTCAAATACTTCATACACAACTATAAATATCATGAAAAATATCAAGAATCATTTTCACTGACTACCTTCCTAATGATAAAATGTAGTGAAGTAACTGAAAAAATTGACCAGTTCTATAGCAGTGGTTTGGCCTAGACAGGATGTTCATATCCTACTTCGGAGTGTGACTTCAAGCACACTACCTAGAATCCGAGGAAGCTTCCTGCTAACGTGCCCCCAGCAAACAGGAGGTGTTGGTTCAAACACTTGCACCCAGAGATCATGGGACAGGCCCAGATGCAATCTCTGGCTCCACAGTGACAACACTGAAGCTTTGCTTGTCTGTCATGCTATTTATTTCAAAACTAAATAAAAACAGGCAAAAAAAAAATTTTTTTTATTTACCAATATTTTCATTGGTCTCTCCATTTATCATTCCATTAAACTCTCTTCTTCCTGGACGAGTCACTCTAAACAGCAATGAGTAAGACTTCACCATATGGCTGTTACTAGGTTCAAATTCATTACTGGAAACTGCAAGGGATGGGAAATTTCCAGGTTTTGTTTGATTGAGGTCAGGATTCAAAGGCACCTGCTTTTTACCTGTGGGAACTTGCCTTATAGGACAACTCACATCCTGCAAAGGTAAATATTATATACATTCACTTAGAAAAAAAGTAAAAGAATCACAATAGTTTATAATCATACCAATAAGAAACAGGTATAGGTCATGATTATTAAATAACATGTTAGACTTCTAATAATTCTGAAAATAGACAAAAATATTGAATTATAATATATTTATATAAATTGAGGATTTCTCCAATAAAAGGAAAACAATGGCATAATATCTCTAGTATTTAGCTGATGCAAATTTTAAAATAGAAGCATGTAAATAAAGCCATAATTTACTCATCTACCCTCATGATTTTCCTTACATTATAATGCTGTTTTAACAGTAAGTGATGGAAACCATTAGAAATGAAGAAAAGATAGCTGTAACAACTCCATGGTGGACATTAGGCAAGGATATATTCATTTAGTTAAGTGTCATTTAACAGAAGAAATTTTCATCACTGTTGGTAATATTTTGTCATTGTGTCTACCAAGTTACATCGAAAAGGACAGTGGGGGTGCCTAGCACTGTGGCCTAAGGGCTAAAGTCCTCGCTTTGAACGCACCAGGATCCCATATGGGAGCCAGTTCTAATCCTGGAAGCTCCACTTCCCATCCAGCTCCCTGCCTGTGGCCTGGGAAAGCAGTCGAGGACGGCCCAAACCCTTGGGATCCTGCACCCGTGTGGGAGACCTGGAGGAAGTTCCAGGCTCCTGGCTTCGGACTGGCTTAACTCTGGCTGTCGCAGACACTTGGGGCGTCAATTGTTGGATGGAAGATCTTCCTCTCTGTCTCTCTCCTCTCTGTGTATCTGACTTTCAAATAAAAATAAATAAATCTTAAAAAAAAAAAAAAAGCATAGTGGAAAAATTGAAACATGCAGGACACCTAACAAGTATTCTTAGAATACTAGTGCTTTGTAAAATCTGTAATGATTTCAAATCAATTTCTACTCTGCAAATGTATGAATTGAAATTCTGTCTCATCTACCACTAAAAAACAAAACAAAACACTTTTACCCTTTTTTTGAAACACATAGAAAATAGTTAATTTGCACTCATATTTGTATCTGGAAAAACTTTTCTTTCATATCATTTCAAAAAGAATATGGCAGTCAGCTGGGAGGGAGGAATGGCATTTGGCAACATTAATACACTTTTTAATGTAAAGTTACACTGCTGCCTTCCACTGCTGTAGTCCAGCCCCTGTCAGTTATCAAGCAGGTTTCAAGGCTCTCATTACTTTATTATAATCCTGGAAAAATATCAGCAACAAGAAACCCTTAGCCATCATGGTACCTGTTTCTATGGTGAAGAAATTTAATCATTAAAAAAATGTGAGGCAATGTATTAGTTATGCAATACTTATCAGCTGCTGATTAATAAAGCTGACAAGAGAAATTTACTGTCTGAAAGCATAACAAAACCCTAGTGAACCCTTCTCTAAAATATTTACCACCTTAAAATTAAGTTACCCAATGGGACTAGAAAAATGTAAGGAAGTCTGGCAAAATAGTTTACAGTTTCCCACTTCACCCATCATATGATTTCAGCCTTTAAATTTAAAAGTTGGTTTTAGGGGCCAGCACTGTGGCAAAGTAGACTAAGCCTTCGCCTGCACCGCCATCAACCCATACAGGCAGTAGTCTGAATCCTGGCTGCTCCACCTGAACATACATGTCCAATTAAGAAAACTAATCCATTTAACCCACCAACATTTTATACATTACCTTTCTTTTTTTGTGGCAAACTTTCACAAGCAGAACTTCCAGAGTAACAGAATTTTGTTCATTTTCTGAGTTTTGTGACGGTTTATCTAAATAGAAAATGAATACCTCATCATTTTACACAGAAATGTGGTCATTTCAAATAATAATCATGTATCATTTTAAGACTAATCAGAAGTTTATACGTTTTCCCCAAAGTTAGTATAAACCTGCAGCAATCTATTCAAAAGCCTTATACGACAGTACTTTAAAAAGTAAAATGGAATTATTTTTGGGACCAAGACAAATGTAATTACCTTCTTACGTACCATGATTTATTTTTTTAAGTAAAAAGGCTCAATGAGTTTATACTCAAAAGCATTTAATAATGACTTGATTTGAGAGTTTAATAGGTATAATAAAAAACAAACTGCTATCATATCTGATTTTAAGGCCGGCACAATAGTATAGTGGTTAAGGTCCTCGCCTTGAACACGCCCGGGATCCCATACTGGTACTGGTTCTAATCCCGGCACCTCCACTTCCCATCCAGCGCCCTGCCTGTGGCCTGGGAAAGCAGTCGAGGACGGCCCAAAGCTTTGGGATCCTGCACCCATGCGGGAGACCTGGAAGAAGCTCCTGGCTTCGGAATGGCTCAGCTCCAGCCTTTGCGACCACTTGGGGAGTGAACCCTCAGACGGAAGGTCTTCCCCTCTGTCTCTCCTCCTCTCTGTATACCCACCTTTCCAATAACAAATAAGTGAATCTTTAAAATAAAATCTGATTTTAAGGGTCCAGCCTTGGAGTGCAGCATCCCAAGCCTTCCTACTTGTGACACCAGCAGCATGTATGGATGGTGATTGGTATCCCAGCTGCTCAATTTCCAATCCAGCTCCCTGTTTATATGCTGAGGAAAGCAGTAGAGAAGGGCAACAGTGTAGGGGCCCCCGAACCCATGAGGAAAGACTCAGAAAAAGATCAGGGTTTCAGGCTTCAGACAGGCCCAGCTCTGGTTGTTGGTTTAAGTCTAAAGGCAGTGAACCCATAGATCCAAAATTCTGTCGCCCGGGCTGCCTCTGTAACTCTGACTCTCAAATAAGTAAAAATAAACCCAATAAATAAGTGATTTGTAACAAATACAGCTTAATTTTCTTGGCTTGGGGCCGGTGCTGTGGTGGTATAGTGGGTAAAGTTATAGTGGGTAAAGCAGACAACCGCACAGGTGCTGGGTTCACGTCTTGCCTATTCCACCTTTGATCTGCACTCTCTGCTAACAGCCTGGGAAAAGCACTGGAAGACAGCCCTGAGGTCTGGACTCCTGCTGCCCATGTAGGGCACTGGGATGAAGCGCCTAGCTTTGGGCCTGGCACCGCATGGCCTTGTAAACATCTGGGCAATGAAACAGCAAATGAAACAAATATCTCTTATTTTCACTGTAGCCTTTTCTAAATCAATCAATTAATCTAAAAAGAAAAATTCCAGGCACAAATTATGAATGACAGCAAATTCTAGAGAAAACCACAAAGTAATGATCTTTATCTTGCTTCTGCAAGAATCTATTAGAAAAATTAAAAGGGACATCCAAAATGAATTAGTTGCTACTACAGAAGTTTCATTTTGGGCCTGGTGGCTAAATCCTCTCCTGCGTCAGGATCCCGTATGGGCACTGGTTTGTGTCCCAGCTGTTCCACTTCCAAACAAGCTCTCTGTTAATGTGCCTGGAAAAGCAGAAGATGTCCCAAGTACTTTTTGCCCCTGCATCCAAATGGGAGACCTGGAAAAACTTCAGGTTCCTTGATTTGGACTTGTCCAGCTCCAACCATTGTAGTCATTTTGAGAGTTAGCCAGCAGATGAAAGATCTGTCTCTCCCTGTAACTGTCTTTCCAATCAATCTATTTAGATGTCGAAAAAAATAAATTAAAAACAAACAAAAACCACACTTCACCAGGGGCTGAACTTGTGATTGAACAACTTAATTTCTGATTCAGCTTCTTGCAAAAAGCACTAGAAAAGCAGTAAGAGATGGCCCCATCACCCAAGTAGGAGACCAAGATGGAGTTAAAGACTCATGGCTTCAGCCTGGCCCGGAGGTGGCTTTTCTGGCCAATGCTGGGTACACCATTAGGAGGATCTCTTCTTTTTCTCCCTCCCCAGCTGATACTCTTGATAACTTGATCAGTTATCAAATTAATATAATCATTTTATTGTTTAAGTTCTTACTGTTTGCTACTTAACAACCCACTAAAGTCAACCTGGCATGCATCTAAAAAAATTCTGCATCACTGCATTTTCCCAAGTAGGCTTTCAATTTCTACTGAAATAAGGTAACCCATTGTGTAATTTTCTTTAAGACAAGCCGATTTAGCTCACTGACGACAGCTGCGTCGGTTGATGTACTGTTTCTAAGATATGGTTGTGTTCAGCAGATTCTTCACCTATACCAGTTACAAGCCAATTAATCAAAAGTTTCATCATTAGTCTTTATATTTTTAAATTTTATTTTAAAAATTTGGCATTTTTCATTAAGTATAATTCTATAACCTATTCAGAAAAATTTTTTTAACATTCAGAATGGCACTTTCCTGTTAATGAGGTGGAAATACATGCTTTTGAGTACATACCATTTTTGTGGAAGAAACCAGTAAATGTTAGCTGCAAATGAGCTGATAAGCTATATAAAACAAACAAGAAGATACATTAGTTTAGTACTCTGCAATAAATAATCTAAAGTTTAACATTCACATCAAAGCTCAATTAACTTATTCTTAACTGTTTTTTTTTTTTTTAAAGATTTATTTTTATTATTTTTTCATTGGAAAGGCGGATATACAGAGAGGAGAGACAGAGAGGAAGGTCTTCCGTCCGATGATTCACTCCCCAAGTAAGCGCAACGGGCCGATACTATGCCGATCCGAAGCCAGGAGCCTCTTCCGGGTCTCCCACGCGGGTGCAGGGTCCCAAAGCTTTGGGCTGTCCTCGACTGCTTTCCCAGGCCACAGGCAGGGAGCTGGAAGGGAAGCGGGGCTGCCGGGATTAGAACCGGCGCCCATATGGGATCCCGGGCGTGCAAGGCGAGGACCTTTAACCACTTGCGCCACCGCGCCGGGCCCAACTTATTCTTAACTGTTACACAAGTTTATAACTCCATGATTTCCCTGGCAGTATCACATCTCAAATGATTACACACTTAAAACTAACTATAAAGTAGGTTTCTTCTTCCCACATGCAAAATAAAATTTTGGGGACTGGCACAATAGCCCAGCACTAAAGTCCTCACCTTGCAAGCACCAGGATCCCACATGATCGCCAGTTTTAATCCCAGCAGCCCTGGTTGTGGCCTGGGAAAGCAGTGTAGGACAGCCCAAAGCCTTGGGACCCTGCGTGGGAGACCTGGAAGAGGCTATGGGATCCTGGCTTCAGAAAAGCCCAGCGACAGCCACTGAGGTCCCTTGGGGAATGAACCAGCAGGTGGAAGATCTCCTCTCTGTACATCTGACTTTCCAATAAAAAAATAAATAAATCTTAAAAAATAAAATGAAATTTTCATACTGGTACCTGATTCTACATACAAATGTTTGAGTATTTTAAAGCTATAGAACCTTACTATATACTTCATCTAGGAGTAAAATATACAATTACCAGTCTACAACAAACCTGTAATCTATTACTTAAACATATCATTTCCACTTTGAGCCTTAGAAACTACGGAAAAGCATGGACTAGTTATTCCTTTGTTTTGAATGATAGCAACAGTCATGGAAAAAATATCAGAATTGGATAAAATAAACAAATAGCAACAACCTTTTGGATCCTTTAGTTGTAAAAGATAACAATAGTATTTGCTGCTCAGGAGCCTCTCACACTTTCAAACCAGTTTCTTTGGTAGGATGTCAACTACATTACAGAGGGCTATAGATGGTAGAGAAAGACAAACTGAACTGACACCTTACTCAAGAAATTTACTAGTGAAACCTCACCTTGCACTCGCTGGGATCCCCCATAGGTACCGGTTCTAATCTTGCCTGCCCTGCTTCCCATCCAGCTCCCTGCTTGTGGCCTGGGAAATCAAGGATACCCAAAAGCCTTGGGACCTTGCATCTGCGTGGGAGACACAGAAGAAGCTCTGGGCTCCTGGCTTAGGATCAGTACAGCTCTGGGGGAATGAATCAATGGACAGAAGATCTTGTTCTAAGTCTCTCCTCTTCTCTGTATATCTGACTTTCTAATAAAATTAAATAAATCTTTTAAAAAAATTTTACTACTGAAAATAAACAGCAGCTAGAGGGCAATGTCAGTGAAGAGCATGTAAGTCTTTCAAGAACTACTGAATGACCCATATATTTGATAGGAACTGAAATGGAGACAGACGGACGGACGGACACAGAGTTCCTATACAGGGTTTACTCCCTCAAATGTGTGCAACTGCAGGAGGAGACTGAACCCAGCACGTGTGAAGCCAGTCCAGGTCCCAAAAGGGTGACTAGAGCCATCACTGCTGCCCCTAGGGTCTGCAGAAGCAGGCAGTTTGGCTGAGGAACCAGATCAAGCTCATACATAATGATGGGAAATATAGACATTTCAATCACTTAGTCCAACAACCACCGGTTCATCTTCTTACATGATAATGACAATTTAGCCGTTTTTATCATCAGAGGAGTAACAACAAAAATAAGTAAGTAAAAACTTGAAATGAGCACATATAAAAAGACTGCAGTTACGTATTTCCCCAGGATTTCATGACTTCTAACAGAAACAGCAGATGAATGAGATACTTCAAAGGCCTCTGTTTACTTAGGGAAGTATCCCATGGAAAGGCAAAGTGGAGCTCAAGGGGAGGGACGGGCATGGTGGCACAGAGGATCAGGCCACTACTTGCGATGCCTACATCTTTCACTTAAGTATCTGGTTTGGAATGCTGCTACTGTGTTCCCATTCCAGCTTTCTGCTAATGTTCCTGGCAAGCAGATGTTGACCCAAGAATCTGGGTTCCTGGAGATGTGAACGGGAATTACTAGCTCCTGGCTTCTGGAAGCTTGGAGAATGAGCCAGTTGATGGAAAACAGATCTGTTTCCCATTCAAACAAACCTTTAAGACAGAAAAACTAATATTTTCCTATAAAAACAGTTCCTTGAATTTCTCCTTATAAAGCAGAATTAGCTAAACTCTACAACATAACTAAGGCTAGCATTATGGCACAGCAAGTTAAACCACTACCTGCAAACCTGGCATCCCATACAAGCATGCAACGAATTTCCAACTGCTACATTTTTGATCCAGGTTCCCTATTAATGCACCCAGGAAACTGGAAGATGGCCCAAGTCTTCCTGGGGCTTTGACACCTACGTAGGAGAGGTAGGTGGAGTTCCAGGCTTCAGGCTTCAGCATGGTCCAGCCCTGGACATTGCAGCTATTTTCAGGAGTGAACCAGCAGATCTAAGATCTGTCTCCCCAGATCCTGTCCTGTAACTGTCTTTCAAATAAATCTTAAAAAGAGATCAAACATAACTAAAAGAGGAATACTGAGCCCGCGCGCGATAGCATAGTGGTTAAAATCCTCGCCTTGCACTTGCAGGGATCACATATGGGTGCTGGTTCTAATCCCAGCAGCCCCACTTCCCATCCAGCGCCCTGCTTGTGGCCTGGGAAAGCAGTCAAGGATAGCCCAAAGCCTTGGGACCCTGCACCCACATGGGGGACTCGGAGGAAGCTCCAGGCTCCGGATTGGCTTAGCTCTGGCTGTTGCGACCACTTGGGGAGTGAACCATAGGATGGAAGATCTTCCTGTCTTTCCTCCTCTCTGTGTATCTGCCTTTCCAATAAAAATAAATAAGTCTATTAAAAAAAAAAAAGAGGAATACACTGTGACTTCCACATACTAGAACATTACCCATTAGTCACAATCGATCTATCAAATTCTTAGCTCATTCAATTAAACTCTAAGGCCAGGTTAATCTCTCCATACACCATATTATAACTATTTCTCCAACTGGAAATTTGGAATGAGCTCCCAAACAGTGAATGTCCTGTCTAATTGCTATCTATAATATGACTTCCATTTATTAGCACCATTAAAGCCTTATATAGAAAAACAGAGGCGCCATTGTCCTGGTTCAGTAGGTAAAGACACCAAGCACAACACCAGCAGCCCAGATCAGAGCACTGGCTCGTTTTCTGCCGCTCTGCCAGTGTGCATGAAAGGCACAAGATAGCAAGAGTGCTTGGGCCCTGTAACCAGCAGGAGACCTGCATGGATGGAGTTACAGGCTTGCAAGAAAATGGAAGAAGGTGTAATGCAAACAAACAAAAAATTCAAGTTTGAATAGTGATTTGAGTTAACTGTGACTTTAGTAATGTATAAAACAAGGATACTGTCTCTGCCAAGATTGTGAGGCCTGCATAAAATAAGGAGCCAGCAAACTACTCTCTCTTTACCCAAGATTCTTACTTCAATCATCTCACACTGTAACAATCACTTCTTTTGTTCATAAGCATCTACATATAACATTTTGTCATTCTCATTACTTTTTCTCATATGGAAAAAATATTTTTTTATTTGAAAGGCAGATGGGCACTGGTGCTACGGAACAGTGCCCTGCGCCTCTGCCTGTGGTGCCAGCATCCCATATGGACTCTGATTCGTGTCCCAGCTGCTCCATTTCTGATCAAGCTCCCTGCTAAAGACCTGGGAAAGCAGCAGAAAATGGCCACAGGTCTATGGACTCTTGTACCCAGAGACCTGGAGGAAACTCTTGGCTTAAGATCAACTCAGCTCCGGCCACTGCAGCCACTTTGGCAGTAAATCATTAGATGGAAGACCTGTCTAACTCTCTGAAATTTTGCTTTTCAAATAATTTTTTTTTCTTTGCTAAAGGCAGAATTACAAAGAGGAAGAAACAGAGAGAAACAGATTCATCACCCACTGGTCCACTCTCCCAAATGACTGCAATGGACCAGCGTTGCGACAGGCTGCAACCAGAAGCCCCGAACTCCATCCAGCCTCTCAAGCAGAGGCAGGGATCTAAGCACTTGTACATTTCATTGCTTTCCCAGGAACATTAGCGGGGAACCAGACTGGAAGCAGAGGGAGTTGGAAGTTAACTGGTGCTCTTTTGGACACACAATTAAACACTCTAGTGGTTAGAACAAAAAGTTGAATGAGACAGTATGTGCTTATTCCACATATATGTCACCTTCCAAAAGTACTGTACAAAAAATAAAGAAGTTAATAAAAAATCCAAGATTATACAAGGAACATTTCACAGCTTTGCTATTTTATAGATGTTAATAGCTCGACACTCTCAGCGACAAGTGACAGGTACATTTAGGAGGAGGCATATGAAATTTACGGGGACAGCATTGTGGTACAGCAGTTTCATCTGTTGCTTCAAAGGCGAACATCTCAAATCATAATGTCACTTCAACCTGACTACACTGCTTCTGATTCTTCTCCCTGATAAAACACCTAGGAGAGCACAAGATGACAGCTCATAGACTAGGCAGCTTCAGCCCCAGGGGAGTCTTCACCATATAGTGGATTTCCAGCTTACTGACTCAGTCTGGTCCAGCCCCAGATGCTAGAAACATCTGAAGAACGAACCAGCAAATCAAAACTCCCCTTCTTTCCTCTGTCACTAGATCATTCAAATCAATGAAAAAAACAGAAAAAAAATGTAGGAGCCACATTCTGATTTTAAAAAATCTTTGGGGCCTGGTGGCATGGCCTAGCAGCTAAAGTCCTCGCCTTGAAAGCGCCAGGATCCCATTTGGGTGCCAGTGCTAATCCCGGCAGTTCCACTTCCCATCCAGCTCCCTGCTTGTGGCCTGGGAAAGCAGTCTAGGATGGCCCAAAGCCTTGGGACCCTGCACCCGTGTGGGAAACCTGAAGAGCTCCTGGCCTCCGATTGGCACAGCACTGGCCACTGTGGTTACTTGGGGAGTGAATCATCAGACAGAAGATATTTCTATCTCTCCTCCTCTACCTATATATCTGACTTCGCAATAAAAATATATAAATCTTAAAAAAAAGTTCTTTGCCATTCAAATAAAAATAATCTTTAGAAAAACAAACAGGTTAGTATCATAGTACTTTAAGCTGTTGCCCACAGGGTTAGCATCCCATATAAACATCAGTTCAAGTGCTGGCTGCTCCACTTGTGATCCAACTCTCTGAAAATGCACATGGGAAAGCAGTGTAAGATTCCCAAATACTTGCTTCCCTCACTCCATACACACAGGAGAACAGGAAGAAGCGCCTGGCTTCTGCTGGGCTCAGCTCTGACCATGCAGTCATCTGAGGAGTTTCTGTCTCTCATTCTCTTTGCAAATTTGCCTTCCCAATAAAAATAAATAAATCTTAAAATATATACAGATATGGGAAGTGCGAAACAATATCAACTCCAATAGCGATTGATTATACTGGAGATTCAAACTTCATGAATGAAAATGGAGATGGGCGCGGCGGCGTGGCAAAAAGGCTAAAGTCCTCGCCTTGAATGCCCTGGGTTCCCATATGGGTGCCGGTTCTAATCCCGGTGGCTCCACTTCCCATCCAGCTCCCTGCTTGTGGCCTGGGAAAGCAGTCAAGGACAACCCATAGCTTTGGGATCCTGCACCTGTGTGGGATACCTGGAAGAAGTGCCTGGATCCTGGCTTCGGATTGGCCTAGCATCGGCCGTTGTGCTCACTTGGGGAGTGAATCATCAGACGGAAGATCTTTCCTCTCTGTATATCTGACTTTCCAATAAACAAATAAATCTTTAAAAAAAAATTGGACAACTCTCCCAAGTTTCGACAGCAAATATCTGGGTGAATAGACTCTAAGGTGGATTATGTCAGCCAATGGACCTTGGAATGCTTTCCTTGTCCTTGGAGCAACGAAATCACCAGCATCTCAGAACCACAGAAATGCACTTCAGCAGTACCCTCCGGACATGCTCCACACTGGGAACCCTAGGGTAACACTGAGTGGACATCCGACACCCCCAAGTGCTGATGTGCTTAAGATGCTGGGTGTGACCCTCCCCCCTTATCTAACCCTTTTCCCCCAGACACAGGGAGAAGGAAAAGAAAACTGGAAATGGGTCTCATCCACTTTCTCCTATTCCTCAACCCTTCCTTTCCTACTTATTGGCGAACACGGGCATGCCTCCTTCTCAGCTATCACCATCATCCAAAAACAAAAAAAAAAAAAGTAAATCACAAGCACAGGGGAATTCAGCAAAATACTAAAGCCCATTAACCAATGTTTTCTCTCAGATTGAATTTACTGATACCCAGCACAAATCACCATCAAGAGATTTTCTAACAACTGTTCATAGTACTCAGGGATGAAAAATATCAAACAGCTATGTCGTCCTTTGATTACAGCAGTAACAAAGAGTTTTATCATTCTTTATAGGCTCTGGGGCCGCCACTCAAAACACAGGTCTCTAAGCATTTATCTTTTTCTGTTTTTTTTACATGAATGGAATTCAACTTAATGAATTTATTGTGAAAAAAGCTGAAAACAAAATTGAAAGCAGCAACTTAAAAAAATTCGAAATTAAAAAAATTACATAATTATACAGTACTATTTGTATAGACTGCGATCCTCCCCCTGTAATCCTGTTTGTTGAGTTCTTTAGTTGAATGTATCAGTTTAGAAGGAAAATAATTATCAGAGAAAAAACCGTTCAGAGAACTGACCACAACACACTGGTAGGAAAATTTTGGCAATACTTATTAAAACATAACATCACAATGAAGCAGTAGCAGGGTTTAGCAGTGAGGAATGTAGAAACTTAATATGAATGATGATCAAAATTATCAAATGTTCTTCCTGGCTACTTTTCCCTTCTCATTTGAATCCTGAAATCGTAAGATCAGAGTACTCAGGAGAAAAGAATGTGTAAACACTAAACAATATTCTCCATTTTACCTTAGCGAGTACTCCTCCTTAAGTAGCAACAGACCAGATAATGATTTAGGATTTCAACTTCTAGAATTTGCTACCATAACCTGTAAGCCAGGGTTTTCTAGATATGTAATATCTATTTTGTAATAGATATTCATAATATTATGAATACATGTAATACATTCAATAAGATTATAATAAAAAATGTGACTTTATAATTCAGGTAACAAAATCACCAAATTCAAGAGACACTACAAATGACTGTAGAAAATTAAGTCTTTCACCAGTTATCAAATAATGAGAAGATAAATGGAGCAGTCCTTTACTTCTGATTTATCTCTAAAAGTAATCAATGAATTAATAAGCATCACCCAGGTTTCCATTTTTCTCTAGAGTATTCAATATTTTTTACTTCACACATCAATCAATGGAAGCACACTGCTAGAGTAAGCAAGCATGAGACCAGTCAGAATATTTACAGATGTGTGCTGCCTATCCATGGGCAAATGTACAATGAGTAGACTGACCAGTGTCAATTTCCCATGTGAAAAACATTTTTGAAGTTACTGTGTGAAAAATACATTCCAAATATAAAACAAAGTATGACTATTTCGCCTGAGGAATTTAAACAGAGAGAAGAAAAGACAGGGAAAAAAAAGATGTGCTTCTATCACACTGAGTCACATGAGATGAGATCTAACGCCACAACCGGGAGTCGCTCCTCAGAGGAGCAGCAAGACTAGATCAACTGCACAAGTTTCACCTTTAGACTCAAAATGTAAGAAACTGGTAAGATAAACGATAATGAACACAACTGGCTTACAAAACACTGAGTTCCCCAACACTGAAAGCATTCAATCAAAGCTTATGTATTTTCTGACAGGGATGTTATGGTAATTACTAACTTATGTGTGACTTTGGGCCAGCTAACCTGTAAGGTTTCTTTTAGCTCCTTTTAATAATTCAGTGATCATTGGAAGAGTAATCACTAATTTTTCCTGTTCCCTATAAATAACTTAATACAACTGATCGGGTTTCTTACCTATGAGATTCTTGCTCTCCTTTCATTTTCTCTACTTTTGATAACATATCATCAACTTTAAATGTTTTCCTGAAAGAAACAGATAAACAAAACAATCACTTCTCAACTGAGAAAAAACAAGTTATATTTGATCATGAGTATAAAATGCAACATGGACATCTGATTTTGTTTATTTTTGTGAGGTAACTATGGATAGTTAGCCAGAACAATGAGATAGTGCATGTAATAACACAGTAGACAAGCTTTCATTTCCATCTCTATTACTAGCTTTTTCAGAAAACTTACTGTAAGTATACACAAAGCAGAGCAATTTCTCCTTACCCATGGCACTTGGTTTATACTTATTTTGACATTAAGTCTTCTACATGTGAAACTTGTGTAAATACTTTATTTCTTTTACTAGATTATAAGCTCCTGAAGGGCAGTAATGGCTCTTCTTCAAGGAAAGCCATATAGTGCTTGGCATAGTGCTTTATTCTTGGTAGATAGTCAAGCATCTGTTTAACTGAGCCAAGCAAATGCAAATGACGTATATTTTGGAATATTCATACTACTGTTAAGCACTCTAACAAATGTGTACTACTACTGTTACAGAAAATGGACATTCTACAAAAATTCATCTGAACTTCCTAAGACATTCTCAGAGATAACTAGCAAAGCCTAAAAGCTAAATAAGTGATATTAACGAGTAGTTTTAAAAATCATGAAAATGTTTTGAAGCTAGGGAATACATCTTTTAAATCATAATTATGTATTCACTTTTTTGGGGGGGCGGAAAGAGTTGGTGCCCATCTTTTGGTTCATTCCCTAAATGTCCAGCAGCTGGGGACTCAACCTAGCTCTCCCACATCAAAGGCAGGGACCCATCCAACCACTGGAGCCACCATTAGTGCTTCCCATGGTGCCTGTTAGCAGGAAGCTGAGATCAGGACTAGGAGCCATAACTTGAACAATACAAGATTGGATGTGTGTGTCCCAACAAGTGGCCTAACTGTTAGCCCAAATACCTGGTCCCATGTCAGTTTTTAGCTTCACAAGTTTAGAAGGAAAAAAAATTTCTACGAAACAGGTAAGCATAATCTCCCAAAGCAGTTAAAGACATTTACAGATTGCAAAACAAGCATCGCCTTCATTTTTAAGCTGATCTCCATACAATTTGTTAACTGGAAATGTTTCTCTGCATATTGACTTACTCTCTTCAGATTGAGGACCTTGAAACCTTAACATATTTCACTCAACTTATTACCATAAATTGCTTGAATGCAGACACTATAAATGACCAGTACGCTCACTTACTATTCAGTAATGGACATTATACTCAACTTCTATAACAAAACTTATCAGAAGCTGGCGCTGTGGTGTGGTGGGTTAAGTCTCTACCTATGGTGTCAACATCCCACATGGGAGTCGCTTTAAGTACCAGCTGTTCCTTTTCTGATGTGGCTCCCTGCAATGTGCCTGGAAAATGAGGGAAAGATGGCCCAAGTCCTTAGGAGTCTGAACCCAGGAGGGAGACCAGGAAGAAACTCCGGACTCCCAGCTTCGGACCAGCCCAGCTCTGACCCTTGCAGCCATCTGGGGAGTAAACCAGCAGATGCAAGACTCTCTTTCTCTCTCTGTAACTATGCTTTTTAAATAATAAAAAAAAAATCTCAAAAATTATCAGAGAAATGTTAATGAAAGCTCAATATAGCAAAATACCTCCATCAACAAAAGAACTTTTAAAAACAAAGCTTCCATCATTGCCATTAGAGTAATTGAAAATTTCAACATAACACGGCATCTCACAGAGCATAATATTTTCTGAAAGATGACAACACATTTTTTTTAAGATTTATTCATTCTTTTTGGAAAATCAGATTCACAGAGAGGAGAGACAACGATCTTTCATTTACCAGTTCACTCCCCAAGTGGCTGCAACGGCCAGAGCTGAGCGAATCTATAGCCAGGAACCAGGAGCCTCCTCCGGGTCTCCCATGTGGATGCAGGGTCACAGGGCTTTGGGCCATCGTCGACTACTTCCCCAGGCCACAAGCAGGCAGCTGGATGGGAAGTGGAGTAGCCAGGACATGAACCAGTGCCCATAAGGGATCCTGACACATGCAAGCCGAGAACTTCAGTCGCTAGGTTACTCTGCCAGGCCCAACAGATTTTCAATTTCCAGAGATAAGAGAGAAGATGACCCTTTCAGACTTTCACAAAGAACTGTTCAGTATAAATACAGAAAGCTACCATCAAGAAGGCCTATAAAGTTACTGGGAATTTTTTTAAGAATGGCATGTTTTATCTTGACGTAATGATTAAGAGCAGATTCTGCCTGTAGGACAAAAACTAAGACTGTACGGACCAAAGTTACTTTCTCCCAACATCATAAAGTTATATACAGAAGTGAGCAGGAATTGAAACAGGGAACAAATACCGGCAACCACCTTCCTTAGGAAAAAGAAGCCATAGAAGCAACTATACAAAAGCAGTTCTTCCCGTAAGATCAGGTATTTCTGACATCTAGAGAAGTAGCGCAACGGAAATGCTTATCAGAAGTTCACCAAAAAGAACATATTTCAAAATGCAAGAATATTTTCTCAGGAGGGTTCAGAGACAGCTTATATGAAACTCAGAAAAAATGATTTACAAAAAATGCCCTCCTCACCCGTTACTTCCACTGTCGAAGTAGTGTTATTCTACAGAATTCTAATATTTCTATTCATAAAGTAAAAGATGAGTTTAACATAACAGAGTTAATAATACAACTGAGAGTATGATTTGACAGGAAGTAGCATGCTAATTCCAACAATGGATATTCCGTTTTTTCTATACTTGTGATAAAAAATATTCGAAAACAATCTCAGCAAAGATCATAATCATAGCTAAATGCTACCTTCTAAAATCACTAAGTATTCTGAGGACATACAGTCACAGAGAATTAAGATACCCCTATGCAGTTCTATGTGAAAACAACAGAATTAAGGGTTTCTTGGCTAATAAATTGTGTCAAAAATCCCCCGTAGACAATTTTTTTTTGTAAACTACCCAAGCTTTTAAAATTCTCTCAACACACCGGTAAATACCACATTCCATAACAAGACAATCTAGTCAACAAAAATTACAGGAAATAAATTTAAATTTGAAATGTGTACTTCAACCCACCAAACCTCAAACTTCAATTTAATCATTTTTAGGTTTAAAGTCTCCAGCATCCTGATTAATAGTTTGATGATCCATACTTAAAAAAAAAAGAGGCAAGAGACCCATCCAACCACGGGAGCCACCGCTAGCACATCCCTTGGTGCCCGTTAGCAGGAAGCTGGGACCAGGACCAGGAGCCTGTTTTTGTAAGTCTGTGAGCTAAGAACAGTTTTTATAGATAATTACCAACTAACTGAACAACAGAGAACACTAATTCTGAACCCCAATTATGCAAAACTCTCCACCCCACCCCACAAAAAGGACAGAATTCTGCATTTCCTGATGGTAGGTTTATACTACAAAATACCATACTTCGCACTATTGTATTTTGAATTTTATTAATAAAAAATGTGTAACTTTTTCTCTGTTTACAGCGAATGTTCACATTAATATCCTTGAAGTTGTGTTCCGGACACAGAACCTAACTATTTACTATCTAATCCTTCACAGAAAAAGTTTACTAACCTCTGGCATAGTTTAAATAATGGTTCCACCAGACAAAAAGGTGACATATCAATTGTGTTACCCAATTATCACCACGTTCCCAGCTTTTAGATGCTTAGCAATTTCTCACCTCTCAAACACAGTGCTCTGTCTCTAGATTCACAAGGGTGCCAAAAGCAAAATCAAATTCATTCTTCCAAAATACATCTAGATTTAGCTACAAAAGTCACCTAACATGTGGCTATTAAAACATGAGGTTTTCTTTATCTCCCAAATTTAGTTTTAGAGTCTACTGAAATGGCTTCATGGTTTTATTAGTCAAAACTCTAACACCAAAACGCTTAACAGAAATTTTCTCCATAAACTTGTTCAGTTGGTATGTTTAATACTTATAATCTTGCAAGTAGAATAAGAAACTTGCATTCTATATTACAAACAGTTAGTGCTAAATGTTACACAGCAGAATTAAACAGACTGTACCTTAAGGCCAGATGATTACAACATCTTGTTTTTTAAAAGAACATTCATCCTATTATTATCAAAGGTATTTCCTCTTCAGTAAGACTGACTACCACCAAAAACATAGGATTTTGTGAATCTATCATTATAGAAGCTAATCCTTTACTGTCAGACATATAACAACTACTCAAAAACTAATTATTAAATTTTATGTATCAAAGGAAGTTCTCCTGAGCCCATGTGTAAATATTGAAATCCTGGACTTCCACCAAACTTAAAAATGAATAGTGGCACAGAGTAAAAAACCAGTATGATTACTTCATTTCATATCAAATCATTCTGAGCAGCAAAAAACCTAGTAATAAATTAGGATTTAAAATGATAGTATTAAAAACCACTTTACACCTATAAAACTGTGTCACATAATGCAATGTAATTAATAAATTTAAAAAAACCACTTTACAATCAATTCAACCACTCTTTCACTTAATTAGAAGCAACAATTTAAACAAAACTTCTTGTATAGTTAGAACAGTGTGAGATGATTCAAAAAAACGTACCTTTTGATGTTTGTTCTGGAGTTTCGATGAGACATGTAAGTAAGAGTTCTGTGCAAAAATATTGGCTATAAAAAAAGTTTTAAAATGTTAAAATTAAATACGGGTGACATAAGAAAAAACATGATCCACAAACGTCATCAACTACTTACCGCTATGAGATTCCGAGTTCGGAGAAATCTATAGATCTGTGTTGGTTCTAGGTAACAAGAAAAAGAATTAAAACATTAACTAAATTTACTTATTACTTAGCTTGTCAAAAAACTGTCAATCCAGTTCATGTTATAACCAATTTAAACCTAGCACACATTATCAAGACCTTGTACAAGATATTTACATTCAGAAAGCTAATATCCACAATAAGTGCAAGAGACATTCACTCTATGGGATACATTCACCAAAGTCACAAATATTTATTTTAAACTTGAGGCTCTTTACAATCTTTTTCTTAAATCTTTTCCAAAGTAGCTATTTTACTGTACATCACTGAAAAACAAGTTATAACCATTTAACTAGTTTAAACCACCTACAGCTCCTCTTTTAAAGAAGTCAAAAAGAGCTAGTTGGATTCAACAAGAGTTACTCACCGACACCAAACATTATGAAAACTCCCTTTTAAATTGGTCATTTAAAAAATGTGTATAGTAACCGGCCAAAACAGAGTAAAGCTGTTTTCCAGACATCCTAATACAGGTAACAGTCAAGAATGAAACAAATCTGAGATCTAAATTGCAGCTAAAACTCTTCATGAATACTTCTAATCTTAAATGTTTAGGTATTTTTGTTCAATGTAAAATTACCTCAGATAATTATCTCAATATGTATTCCAAAAATATTCTTTAATGCCTAAAATAAAAATTTGTTACAATTTACTATAAAGGATGTAGGTTAAGACCTGTTAGTATCAAGATTCTTTTAAAATAAGGATTACCAGAAAGAACTATGAATACTACACAATAATCACGTTAATGCCTTTAAACTCCCCAGGAACTCGGATCAGTAATGAAGAACCAGGTTGTTTCCTGACCAGATCTAGCTCTGAGATAAATGAATGACAGCTGAGTTCTCCGAGGTGGACTCGGCAGGCAAGCAGTTACAGCTCCCTTTCAGGGCTTGTCTGCTCAGAACGCTGAGAAGGAACTTTCAAAAATTTCACCTTATCTTCAGTAAGTTTTAGTTTCCAATTAGACTAAAAGGAGGCGAGGCGTTTTAGAAAGGGTAGAAACAAAATGTTTACTGCCCTCACTGCTCTGCAGTCCTCCATCCTATTCCCCAAAAAAGCCTCTACAGATTTTTGAAAGTTTATCAAGCAAAATAACACGGATCTCCCTGAAGCAAGTTCAATATTCGTTCCAACAAAAACGAAAATTTCTTATATTAAATTCCAATCAGAATTTCCCGAAGCACTGCCCAGAGAACGGAGGAGAGGAATTAAACAACGTGCTATGCCTCTGCTAGCACAGCTGACATCATGCCCTGCACGGACGCCACGGTGAAATCGTGAAGACATTCGGTGGTCGAGCCAAGTTTATTCAACTTTCTGAAGACTACTCAGCTCCACCACCGACATTCTTCCAGCCTCACACAAAAGCTAGAGAAAGCCACCAAGAGATACCGTTCACTGAAGCGCCGTTAACATTATTTACAGTCCCTGTTTTTTCCTAAGTTCTATTGTTTGTTTTCAGGCACCTTGCTCTCCTATCCCAATATAAATCCAAGTTTTGCCTTCCAAACAGACCTCAGAACCAGAAACTGACGGCAGAAAACGTCCTGGAATTGAGACAGAATTCCAGGGTCGTCGTCCAGCAAACTAAGTTGTTTGTCCACTGTCTCAGTTTAACGTGCCCAGGAAATGGGTGGGTAGCCGCCCAAGCTTTTTAAAGGCATCAGAAGGGGCCACGTTAGCGGGCGGGCGGGTGACAATCCCCTTCGCCCCTAGCGCACCCGTCCCTCCGCCGGCTCAACCTCGTCCCCCACCCCCCCAAAAAAACCCACCGCAGAAATCCCCGCACTTCCAAGAACGCCAGAAAGAAAGCAAGAACTCGTCCCAGGGTCCCGACTACACCCTGCGTTTCGCGGCGACCTCCTGCCCCCCCAAGCCGCCCCTCCCGGGCGAGCCCCTCGGGGACCCCCACGGCACCACCCCAAGAGCCCCTCCTTCCCTCCCCCGAGGCCCCAGACTTGAGGGTCCCCGGAGCCGCGATCCCAGGAGCGGGGACAGCCCCCCCACACACACCATCGCTCCCTCCACTCCCAAACCAAGTGGGCTCCCCTAAGAGAGGCGGGACGGGGAGATGGTCGGGGGGAGAGGCACCCGAGGGTCCCCACCACCAGGCATCCGCCCCCCAAGCCTCGCACACACTCACTCTCAAAGGCCTGGAGGAAAAGCTCGTGGTCAGCCTGGACGTGCTCCATTTTCGGCTTCTTCACCGGTAACACCGCCGCCCCCGCCGCAGCCGCCGCCGCCGCCGACGACGAGGAGGAGGAGGCCGAGTAACTGCCGCCGCCTCCACAGCCCCCGCCGCCCGATTTGCCGCCCGAAGCCGTGGCCGCCGCCGCCGCCGCCGAACCCCCGAAGCTGCCGCCCCCGGACCCCGCGCTGGGCCCCGAGCCGCCCCCTCCCCCACCGCCGTGCTTCTGAGGCGCCATCGCGGTTCCTGCCTCCTCCCCCCGCCAGCTACCCGCCGGGCGGCCCCGGAGAGTGACCGCCTGCGATCTCAACCGCTCGCCCCAGCAGGCTCCGGCGGACCGAGGGGGGAAGGAGGAGAGAGGGGAGGAGAGGGGAAGGGAAGGGAGGAGGAGAGGAGGGAAGGAGGGAGGAAAAAAAAAAAAGTGTCTCCTCAGAGCTCCGCTCCGCTTCGGAGGCCGCTCACCCTACCCTGGCCTCGCTCCGCCCACTTCCCCCGCCCGGCGCTCTGATTGGCCGGCGGGAGCGCGCGCCGCCCGGCCGCCCAGCTCGTTGGCCCGCGGATTCCCCCGTCAGTCACGCGGAGGCGCTTCTCGAAGAGGTGCGGCTTGGTTGGCCCGTGCGCGCTGCCGACCGCGGGCCCGGCTGCCTCTTTGAACTGAATTCGCGGGAAAATTAGGGGTCGGAGCGGCCTTCCTGCTGGCCCCGGTGCATTGTGGGGAGAAAGGGACCCAGCGAGCGGCTTAGGGAGCCGTTTCTCGCCTTCCGAGCGTCGTGCAGTCACCGCCCCCAGGGGGCACGGGACCCCCGAAGAGAGGCGGGCCCCCCGGGAACGGGGGTCCGGGGGAGGGGGGCTTTGCTGAACGAACTAGGACCCGTCACGGAGCTTCAGGTCTCCAACTTCTCGAAAAGCGGCCTGCCTGAGGATGCTGTGTCCAGGGTCTAGGTCCCTTAGCTTAGTCGGGGTAGGGATCGTGCCCTCGGTCCCCTCGTGCCCACGTGCCCCGAGCCACCCTTGTCCGAATCCCTGGAGGCACAGCCCGGGGTGCGGCTGCGATCGTCACCTAAGGGAGCGATTTCTGTTCAGTGAAACGAGGAAAACTTCCGTGGGTGTTTTCAGGATCGTTCAGAAGGGAGACGGTGGCTTCTCTACGGGAAAGGGTCAAATCTGGGTGTTTGATTCCCGCCCCAACACTGTAGGGGTGGTCGGAGGGACACACTGAGTGCTGTCTCTGAGGTACGAACACACACAAGAAAAAATAAGACAGCTGCAAAGTAGAAGTGTGTGTGTGCACTTTCCTTGAGCATCTAAAAGGTTATGGAAAACCATTGCGCGCTCGGAAAGGGGATGAGGGATTCGGTGGCGGGCGGATCCTTGGCTGGAAGCCTTGCACACTGGGGCCCGGTTCAGTCTTGCAGTACAGGTAGGTTGGCAATGGAGCTCATACTCTGAAAGTTTAGGACAAGGTGAGCTTTTAGGATGCTGTTCCAATTCAAGCCCTGTGATCTTGTGCTAAAATGAAACCTCATCTTCAGAAATTCCAGTTCGGAGAGATAGAACCATTTCATACCTGTAGGGGCATTTTTGAAATGTCTTACATTTGGTTCTCTGTAGTTGACTTCAAAAGGAAAAACACTTTACTTTTAAAATCAGTTGTTTACTTAACTAGTTATCTCTGGAATGGTGAGGTAAACATCTCCGGTGCTGATTTTATCACAGCATTTGCTGCCTGGCAAAGGGAGCTCTGTGATGCACTTTATACTTTTGCATTTCAGAAATTAGGTTTAGCTCATTTTAAAGAAAACCTATCTTTTATATTCAGGCAGAAAGTCCTTTTGTTGTTGTATTCTCTGTACCCTTTTTTTTTTTTTTATTCTCACCCAAGGAGATTTTTTTTTCTTTTGCAGATTTCTGAAATAAGCCATCTCTGATTAATGCTGCCCAAGAAAGGCTTGTAGGTTTTCAGTAATCTGAATTAAATCACACCACGCAAATCACAGAATATCAAGGTAGAAGACAGAATGCTAATTTATTCATTAACATTCTCATTTTTTAAAAATTTACAAAGGCAAAATGACTAGTCATCATTGAACCGCAGTTCTGTTTTGGAGGCAGACGGGAGCAGAGGGACTGATACACTCAAAAAACTAAGAGATTACAGAACTTTGATGAACAGAGAAATGAACAGAGTTGGTATTTCTTTAAAGGCTATTTAAGAACATTTTAGAAACATTCCTGGTTTGGGCATAGACATTATACACATTATCTAGCCGACATGAGTAAGAACAATTAAAGTCAATCATTGTGACCTCTGGCATGGTATTTTAGTAGCTGAAGTCCTCGCCTTGCACCCATGGGGAAACCCAAGTGGGTGCAAGTTCATATCCCAGCTGCTCTGCTTCCCATCCAGCTCCCTGCCTGTGGCCTGGGAAAGCAGTTGAGGTCGGCCCAAAGCCTTGGGACCCTGCACCGTGTGGGAGACCTGGAGGAGGTTCCTGGCTCCTTTCTTTGGATCAGCGGTCACTTGGGGAGTGAACCAGCAGAGGGATCTTTCTGTCTCCTTTTCTCTCTGTAAATCTAACTTTTCAATAAAAATAAATAAAATATTAAAAACAAATAAATAAAGCCAACCACCCTGTGAAAGAGGCAAACTTTGTTAGTTTGGATTCCCTTTATCTGGAATCTGCAAAATGTGTTTGCCTTGGTTAACAATTGAATGGTTCTTAAAAAAAAAAAAAGAAAGAAAAGATTTATTTACCTGAAATCATTACAGGGAAGGAGAGACATAAAGAGAGCATTAATTCCCTTAATTGGCCCCAGTGGCCAGGGCTGTGCCAGTCTGAAGCAGGTCTCCCATGTGGCTGCAAGGACCCAAGCATTTGGGTCGTCATCTGCTGCTTTCCCAGGCCATTGGCAGGCAGCTGGATAGCAAGTGGAACAGCTGACTCCAGTCAAGAAACCCGGATGGTGTTCCTAGCTCACAGCTTCAGGCTGGCTGGTCTCAGATTATTGCAGAAAATTGAGGAGCAAGCAGATGGAATCTCTCCTTCTCTCTCTCTGTTGCACAAATGTCAATTTAATCACAATGATTGGGGCAGGCATTGTGATGTAACAGACTAAGCCAATGCCTACAACGCCAGGATTCCACCAGTTCCAGCTGCTCCACTTCTGCTTGTTTTTCCTGCTTATGATGGTCAAAAGATGGTTCCGGCTTTGGGCTCCCACATCCACGTGACAGATCCAGAAATTCCTGGCTCTTGCCTTGTCCTGGCCCAGGACATTCAGCGGGTATGAATGCATTTAGCTGAGAGGTAACTGAGACAGTAAGTCTCCGTTTTTCAATGCACAATGGCTTTCTACCTTCTAGCCAACCTGATCATGTGAGGATTGAGAGCTGTGATTATGAAAATAAGCCACAGATTCTCTATCAGGAAAAAAGGTTATTCTCACTTTGAGGAAACCATATGGGCCCGTTTACTGAGAAGTTCTAAGAGAAAGCTAATCAAATTTATTTTTTAAATGGGCCTGGTGCTGTGCCCTAGCAGCTAAAAGTCCTCGCCCTGAACGCGCTGCGATCCCATATGGGCGCCAGTTCTAATCCCAGCAGCTCTACTTCCCATCCAGCTCCCTCCTTGTGGCCTGGAAAAGCAGTCCAGGACAGCCCAAAGCCTTGGGACCCTGCACCCGTGTGGGAGACCTGGAGGAGGTTCCTGGCTCCAGAGCCGTTGCGGTCACTTATGGAGTGAATCATTGAGCGGAAGATCTTGCTTTCTGTCTCTCCTCTCTGTATATCTGACTTTGCAATAAAAAATAAATAAAAATATTTTAAAAATTTATTTTAAAAATGAAGAGTGGTCTCTGAGGTAAAAAAAAAAAAAATAGCAGGAACTGCCTGATAAAAGATAACATAAGGCAAAAGTCCCAGCTTAAACTTAAAATCTTTATTCATCTCCGTTTTCATCGTCTAGGAAAGCAAACCAGAAAGCCGTGGAACATTGGGAGGCTATGAAGGGGCTTTCATATGGAACCACTGGTGTGTGTCTGAGTGTTTATCTCACGTTAACTAGCTATGATGGGATGGGACTGAGCATTAGTTAGAACCCCGGGGACAAGAAGAAACTTGACACTAATAACCACAGGGAGAAGAAAACCACCTGAGACAAAATATATAACTTTGAATTTTCAAAGGCCTCAGGAGACAGCTAGTATGACCGGGTTTCAAACTGTGAGATAAATTGCTGCGCTTAAGTTTAAGCAAAAGTGAAATGGACTAGTATTTATGGGGCAACCTACCCTTAGGACAATCAAAATAGTAATATTAATTCCTGTGTGAATACCTCTCAAACATGGATTCAGACAACTGAATCTCCAAGAGAATAAATCACTCTTAGCATTCCACAGCTTGTAAAGGAAAGAGCTGGACTTTCTATGCAGGCAGTGGAGACTTAGCATCTCATGCTGCGGGTTTCCTGTACAACAGGCTGTCTTCCTGCCGGCGCAGAGTTCTCTGGCGAGGGTGAGGTTACTCTGAGGCAGGCCATGCACTCATACTGCTCTACAGGCAGGGCTATTTTGTGTTATAGAATTCATTTGAAGATAATAGTTCCACATGCTAAAATAAGGAAAAAAAAGTTTTAAAAAGCTACCCCATTGCATTGTGCTGCCTTCTCAAGTCTGATCATGTGAGACAATGGACTAACATGGTACAAAGAGCGTGCTCTGAGGTAGAGTCATCTCAAATTTGAGATTACTAAGAACAAAACTAGGGCTGGCCTGGCACGGTAACTCCATGCTAAATCTTCACCTCGGGCACCAGTTTGTGTCCTGGCTGCTCCACTTCCCATCCAGCTCCCTGTTTGTGGACTGGGAAAGCAGTAGAGGACAGCCCAAAGCCTTGGGACCCTGCACCTGCATAGGAAACCCAGAAGAGGCTCTGGGCTCCTGGCTTCAGCTTGGCTCAGCTCCAGCTGTTCCTGCCGCTTGGGGAGTGAACCAGTGGATGGAAGATTTTCTCTTTCTCCTTCTGTCCTATGCCCTATGACATCAGGATCTCATATGGGTGCTGGTTCCTGTCTGGACTGCTCCACTTCCAATCCCAGTCTCTGCTTATAGGTTGGGAAGGCAGAGTAGGATGGCCCAAGTCCTTAGGACTCTGCACCTGTATGGAAGACCTGCTGCTCTCAGCTTCAGATCCTCTCAGCTTTGGTCATTGTGGCCATCTGGGGAGCGAACAAGGGGATGGAAGACTTGTAAAAGGGAGTGCTGGGAAGGTGGCACTCAAGACATCACCAAAGGACCCAGTGGCCACTGTGGAAAGAACAATATGGGTTCCTACGCTGCTGTTGCTAGGATAGTTGTACTCCATGTGCCTGCAAAAATTCTTGAGATTATTAAAGCTCTCAACTATACAACTCAGAATTCTGTAACCATTTTCTAAGATAGAGGC